TTCAGCCCTCATCCCCTGCGTCTTTTGTCTTGTGTAGACCCTCTAATCTACGATGGGTGGGCTGGACACTCCAGCGGGCGAACAGTCAGGAGGCCGAGCCCTCTCATGGCGGCACCACAGCCGTTGTAGTCAGCAGCGCCCAGGTGCAGGTAGCTAGGTGGGCAGCCAGCTGAGAAGGCACTGGCAGGGCATTCTGCTGGCCCTCGGACCTGGGGTCTGGGGAGGGGGGTGAAAGTACATTGCCATCGTGTCCTTGGGGTGGAGGCAGGTGCTGCTAGTGGAGCTGGGGGGCAGACAGCTGGGAAGGCACTGGTGGGGTGTTCTGCTGGCCCTTGGCCCTGGGGTCTGGGGAGGAGGGAGAAAGCAGATTGCCAGCATAGCCTCCTCAGGGTGGAGTCGGCCGTGGATGTTGGAGGTGGGTGCTGCCAGTGGAGCCAGGGGGCTGGGAAGGCACTGGCGGGGCATTCTGCTGGCCCTCGACCCCGGAGTCTGGGGAGGGGGGAGAAGGCATTGCTTCTAAAATGGGCTAGTTTTTAAATATTGCTTTATTTTTTTTCTTCCTCCTTTCCCCTTCCCCGTTTCTGTATATAAACTAATTTTAAAAATTCAAAAAAAAAAAGAAGAATGTGTTTTTTCCTATCCAAACCTATTTAAATAGTACGCAGGCTGCAAATTTTTTTTTACACAAATGGTAACATGCTGCAGTTTTATTATGGCAATTATTCTTGTTCTCAATAAAATAAAAAAATTCAATAAAAAAAAAAAAAGGAAAGTTTCTCCATCACTCTAGACCAGGGGCATCAAATATATGGCCAGTGGGCTGGAACTGGCCTGTCCAGGGCTCTTATCCAGCCTGCAAGCAACTGGTGTGAGGGAAGGGAGTAGGCTGCTCAGAGCGGGGGCGAGCAGGCACACACGGTGAGACATGCGTGGTCAAAGCTGTCAAGAAATAGGAAATGGCTATGGAGTGGGGCTAACAGGCTGAGGTAAAATAGTGTGTGTGTGGGGGGGGGAATGGCAGCAAAAGTGGAGAAAGAGGTGTGGGTTTTTCCCCCTCCCACCTCCTCTGACCACAGCTCAGCAAGGATGGGTGAAGCCACATAGGGAGCAGAACCAAGCAGCCAGTGCTGCCACTGCTGCACCAATTGGCTTTGACTTTTTTCAAATGGCGACCATGAGGATGGTTGTCGAGTACAAGTACATGGAGCAGTGATTGGCTGACAAACAGACAGGGCTGGCAGGGGGGAGAAGAGGAGGGCTGGTGTGTGGATTGGGCGGCAAGTGGGATGTCTTGTGTTTGCCGCTCTGAGGGGAAAGATGGCCCGGCCCAAGAAGCGAGTGGAGTAGCAAAGGAAAAAACAGCCACAGAGTCAGAAGGCAGAGTGAGTGTCGGGCGAGTGGGGGACAGCGACCTCCCCCCACCTGTTCTTAGCCTGTGAGGAAAAAGGGGTTGGAATCAATGTTCCCTCTAAGTTGTGGAGTCTTGTGAGCAAAAATTCTACTTTGTGAGCTACTGGCATTAAAGTTGTGAGCGAGCGATTTGGCTACTGCCTAAATTAGCTTGCTCTGGAGCCATCCTTCCTGAGCGAAGCCAAAAATGTGTGAGCTGGAGGCTAAAAAACTGTGAGCTGGCTCGCACTAACTCAGCTTAGAGGGAACACTGGTTAGAATACAAAAAGCACCCCCAGGAGATTTCAGAAACAGCCTATCAGCCCTTCCCCTCACACTTGCCACTTCTGTGGGAAATGCAGGAGGGATGAGAACAGGGGGTGGGGGGATCTGAAAGACCCTTCCTTTTTCTGAGCCAGGACGCTGTCTGGGTCATCCAGGGCTGGTCGCTCACCCTGGCCCACCTTACAAGGTTGTTGTTCTTGCAGATGGGGTGGTGGAGGGGAATCTGGTGTGCCTCCTTGAGATCCTCAGAGGTAGGACAGGAAACAAAGAGCGAGAGACAAATTTACTTGCAAGGAAGTTAACTCATCTCCTAAAAGTGCTACATATACAAAAAGTAATTAATTTGTATGGAAATGTAAGATACCGCTCCCCTTTTATGGTATCCTTTGGGGGGGGAACTAATCTTGCATATGTTCAAATACATTTATTGAGGCTTTCGTGGTGTCTCAAGTAAATCCATTGCTTTCACTGCTAGGAATCAATTGCTTTTGTTTGTATTTTGAGTCAAAAATAATATCATTCATTAGGTTTCCCTGTATCCTTTATAAAGTTTATATCTCCAGTAACAGGCATTACATTTTATGAAACACATGGGCCAGCCCAACAAAATGAAATTTACGTCAGATCTGGCCCTTGTAACAAATGAGTTCAACACCTCTGCTCTAGACCATTTAATTAATCTTTTTTTTCAGCCGTCCCTGGACCCAATGGATCAATAGACCCATGTATGATGTAAAAACAGTCTGGACAATTGAACGTAACATTAAAAACACCACAGTAGAAACAAAAACCTATGCCCCAGCCATCAAGCCGCCCTGAGCCTGCTTTGGTGGGGCGGGCAGGGTATACATCGAATGAATGAATGAATAAGTTTTACAGCCTTGAGGCAAAGCAAGGATAGGACACCCCCAACACCTTCCAGGATGTTGATCTAGCCCAGGGGTGTCAAACATAAGCCGTGGGGGCTGGATGCAGCCCATCCAGGGTTCTTACCCACCTTGCGAGCAACTGGTATGAGGGAAGGAAGCAGGAGACTGCTTGGGGGGGCGGCAAGCAGGCACACGTGGTGAGGGGTGTGTGTGTGATCAAAGCTGTCAAGAAATAGAAAGGAAATGGCTAGGGGGTGGGGCTGAGTTAAAATAGTGGAGGAGGGTGGAAGTGAAGGCAAAGGAAAAGGACTTGTGTTTTTTTCCTCTCTCACCTCCTCTGACTGCATCTCCGTGAGGACTGGAGAAGCAACTACAGACCCCTCCCTCCTGAGCCAGGATGCCGTCATCTGGATCACCCAGGGCCAGTTGCTCAGCCTGGCCCACCTCACAGGGTTTTTGTTGTTGTTGGTGGGGATGGGGTGGTGGAGGGAGGAGTCCAGTGTGCCTCCTCAAGATCCTCAGAGGCAGGATGGGGGAAGAGAGGAAACACAAAGACTGAGACACGGTTCATAGCTGTGCCCAGCTGCTGAGGCTGGGCGTATGGGTTGATTTTTTTTTTGCTGAAAAACTAACTTATTACTTCCAAGGATAATGACATCTCCTAAAAGTGCTATATATACAAAAAGTAGCTGATTTGTATGGAAGTGTAAGATACCCCTCCTTTTTTGGTATCCCACAGAAAAAACCTAGTTTTGCATATGATTAAATGCATGTATTCAGGCTTTTGTGGATTCCCCAGTAAATCAATTGCTTTCACTCCTTTGAATCAATTGCTTTTCTTTGTATTTTGAGTAAAAAATAATATTATTAATTGGGTTTGCCTGTGTCTTTATAAAGTTTGTATCTCCAGTACCTGACATTACATTTTATGGCATACATGGCCTGACCCGACAAAGTAACATTTGTGTCAGATCTGGTCCTCATAAAAAAAAGAGTGTTCAACACCCTTGATCTAGACAACGCCCAAGCAGAATGTCATGGCAGAATACTATTGATAGACAGTATTCTAACTATATATTTATTATTTCATTTATTTACAACTTTTCTATCCTGCCTTTCTACCCTCACAAGAGCCATCAAGGTGGCTAACAATTGAAAACACTCACATTTAAAAACCATTAAAACCAACCCCCCAATAGACATCATTAAAATAAATTAAAAACAAAGTTAAAATACAAAGACATAAAAACAGCAAATAAAACATTGGCCTGGAAGGAGGGATTACTGAGTGAATGCCCAATGAACCCAAAAAAGTCTTCACCCTCTGGTGGAAGATGGCACCAAAAGGGGACAGATGAATCTTCCCGGGGTGGTGGTGGTTCCAGAGATATAGAAACCTTTAAAGAAAAAATTAAGCCCATGCATATACCCGTCGGTTTTCTTTCTATGTAGGTTAGTGCTTCAGAGACCTGATATAGACTCATGCTATTCAAGGTGTAACCTTACCAGGTAAGCTAATATTTTGGAAGGCACACAATGTGTTTCTTACTTTTTCACTGTTTTCAATTATATAAAGTTTATTGACCAATGGTATAATTTTAAGTGCTTCATAGTTTACAAATATTGCCCAAGAATGTAGATTGGTTACTACAGGTGATTCAAAAGCTCCTAAATAAAAGCAAATTATGCAAGGCAGAATACCTGAATCAGAATGAAATTGGATAAAGCATTTAAAATGTGTAGTCAAAACCCTTACTGCAATGGAATATTCCAGAAACTGGTCACCTTAAGAGATGTAAGAAATATTCCTCTTGAACACAGTGACATATACTTCTGAGTAAGCATGTATATGATTGGGCTGGATTAATTATTTTGACTTTGTTTATTTTTTAAGTCAGGCATCTGGCTGCAAGTTGGTGATGGAGAAAATAATTAACATAGGATGTCTGCATATTTAATTTGTTTCGTTGTATATTTTAGCATTGTTTAATTCTGTAAGGCTTTCTACACAGTTTAATTGGGGTTTCTGTGTGTTTGTGAAGATGTTTCCTTCCTTCATCAAAGTGCTCTCTTTATCTGTGACATACATCCACGCTTTGATTTTGTTATCTCTCTCAGCCCTCTTCCCTTTCTGGCCTGTTTTGCGTTCACACCTAATCTCACAGACAGCTCACCATGCCAGAAAAACAGCCACATGTAGCAAGTAAGTTTGATGCTGATGTACTTCTAGGATCCAGTGCTATTGTGAAAAGCTGCTAACATTTTCACTGGGATAAATTTTGCACTCATCACGGAAATGAAATTTCTCCAACAACCTTCAATTGCTCTAGAGGAGGCGAACAAATAAACAGTCCATAAAATAAATGGTGCCCAGTTTTTCATTGCCCAACCAACAAACAGCCTCTGGTATTACAAATATAGTTTTATTATATTATATTTAAGACATTTATACAGGTACAACAAAATAATTAGCTTGTCCCATACATTTTACAAAGTGTCTGCTGTATCTCTTCTATACTTAAGGGCAAATAAACTCTTTAAGAACATGACAAACATTTTCTAAGGCACATTGATTCCTAGTAGTATAACATTTCAAGAGCGGACAGCATATCCTGCATAGGTGAGCAGTGAAGCCATAAGCTACACCCTATTCACATAAATGGCATTGTTCACAATAGCCAAAGCACAGTGCAATTTATTTATTTTTACTGCTGCTGTCTGTTCCTCATGCGACAACAGTGTCCACATGCAGGGGGAAAGTAAACTGAATATTCCACAGGACTTAGTATTACCAAAATACACACCAAGAGCAACTTCCCATAGACATCCTATACCACTGATAATGCCTGGAAATGAAAATGATCCACAGTGACTGGCTCTGTGACTCATATGCACATTCCTAGTCTCTGACATCTGCAACCTCCCCCCCTCAGAGTCCAGTGGGATTCACATCCCAGTGATGTGTCCCCATGTTGCTTGTGTGTGTAAGAGGGAGATTATCAAGCATTAATTGATACTCATGGTCTTTCCCACCTAAATGGTGCATGCCACTAGAAGGTTAAAAAAACCCAACTGGATAGGAAAAAAACATATGGACAGCACCACATGTTACTCACACATCATGGAATCAACTCATCATGGGTTGGATCTAATGCAGTGTTTCCACAGGTGCAAGGACTTCTGTCAACAGAGCACAACGTCTTAGATCCTTCTCATTGTACTCACCCCCCCAAGATTCCTGGGCCATTTTGGGCTGCTGCAGGGTACAGAGCCAAGAAAGCTGTGCTCTGAGGGCAGAAGTCCTTGCACCTGTGGAAACACTGCACTAGATCCAACCCACCCATTTGGAAATGTGGGAAGGGGATCTGCCACATGCTACTGCTAGAAAAGGGAGGTAGATTTTTAAAAATCTAACATTGCAAGGATGTTCTTAGGAAGGAGAAGACTTAACTGGTGGTATCTAGAATTTTGCTAAACCAGCAAAATAATTTTCATAATTGGATCTTTTTAAAAACCTCAAAACACAAATGTATAATAATTCATATTTCTAATAGTTTGGTCCTTTCAAAAGTAATGGTTGGTGGTTCATAAAACCACATTTTGGTAATTTTCTGCTCTTTGATACTAAAAGAAGCATGTATTCCTAGTCCTCGAAGTGCTCTGCCATCACCAAGATCAGGATCTGGCTTTTACTGGATTAGAAAAAGCAAGATACTATGACTTGGAAAGCTACAAATTCCATCTTTAGAGAGCTGTCACAGAAAAATGGCCATGTTCTGGATGCATCATGAGCTATTGGTTCTAGAATTTTCCCACACACTTCTGATGTGTTAAAAGAAACCAATAAGAGTACTGGAGTTTTTGAATTAACTCCCACTGAATACCAATCTTGACATTACTAATATATTAGCCACCTGAAATGTTTCCCCTCCTTTCAGGCACAGAATTTCCTAATTTCCATCCTGACTTCATTTTTTAAATGAGTTTCCAAATATTTTAGGCAACTCTTCTGCTAGGGAGAACTTACTCAGATAACCTATTTGCCTATATTGGTTGCAATCCACGAAGACACTTGTAGAAGAGTGTATTTCACATTAGACAAATATTTTCACTTGCATACAAACCAAGAAGTGATTCAAGTAATCCCCCCCCAAATTTGGAACAAGTAAACCCCATTATTTCTTTCAAAACAGCAATATTTGAGTATTTAAAAAAGAGACTGCTGCAATGCATCTTGTATATATCCATATCCAGAGTTTTGCACATAGGATTTTGGAAGTGGAAACCCATCCCACTCTCTTTGAAATTGAGATCCTCAAGCACAGAGATACACATGCACATACTTTGGAGCTGTACCCATACTTGCTTTGGGCTCCTTAATGGATCAATATGCAGTGAAATGCTGGGGTTGGGGGTGGGCATATTTTCTTCATTCGTATGTCCACAGACATCACTATTATTGTCAGTGCAATGCAAAGTGAGCCAATTAACTGGGAAAGTGCTTTTATTCAGACCATCATAAAACAAATCTTGGCATGAGGTGCAAATTATTATCTCAAGGATTATGACAATGCAAAACACTGTTTGATAAAATGGCTCATATGGGTGTAGATATGGCTGTGAGCGTGGCCTCCAATGCCATGGTCTTTATCCGTATACCACTGGAGAAAAGAAAGAAGATGACATCATCAAATTGGAACAGTCCAGGTACAGAATTGAACAACAAGAAAAAAAACCCTAAGGGTGTGTGTGTGTGTAAACGTTAAGATTTCCAACCTGTTCTGTTCTTAAGGAAACATAATTGTAAAGCATTTGATAATACAAATGTACTAAATAAATAAATAAAATAGATATTTGAAGCACAGTCCAACACTTTGACCATGACACTGTGCTAGCTCACACTGGCACTGGCAATTTTGTTTTTAAATATGCATGTATGTAGCTTCAAAGTTCCATTAGTGAGCCCCTCCCCACCCCAGCGAAGAGACACAGCTGGTGGAGCAGCTATGGAGGGTCACACTGGTACAGTTTAACAGAGGCTTTTCTCAGTGCTTTTAGAATTCCAGTTGTGCTAAGTTAAGCAAAATTTCCATGGGACTAATACAGTGTGAAAAATCAAATATTTAACTCAAGGGTTACCTCAGTACCTTCCATAGTGTGGGTCACAGGGCAGTGTTGAAACGCTATTATTTGAATTTGAAGTTTCAAAACTAGCCATTGATTACATTTTATTTTAATCCCACCTGACACTCTCCGACTACGGTATCATCCTGGTTCTCATCTGGTATGCAGACTATTTGTGCTCAAGCTATCATATCTGCAGGGACTCTAACTAGACGGAAGAAGCAAAATGTGCAATGGAAATAGGATTATATTCCACAGGGACTGTCAGAGAGAGTGGGAGGTGGATTGTGAGAGGGGAAAAACAGTACATGGATGCATTAGTTCAACAAGAAGAAACCTGTGTGCAGACTAATATTGGGCTGTCTCTCATAGAAGGTCTGATCAAAGAGCACACAGAGAGCAGAGCCTGGGCAGAGTCTGCAAAAATGTCAACCATCTGTTTGGAGGAGTGCAAGTAGAACTGGGAAGCAGAGGGTTGGATTCGGTCTTCCCTCCTCCTTCCCATACCCTGAACTGATGCTATTGCAGAGACTATGTCCAGGACCCTGCACAGCTTGTGGAAAATTTGGGTACAGCATCTGTTAGCACGTCAGCATTTCCTCCTGCTTGACTGGCGAATGTGCACCTTTTGTAAACACTACCTGCTTATAGCATACCTAATCCTTGGGTAAAAAATGTGCTTGGTAAACTTGGTAACCAACGTTCGTTATGAAGACTAAGACATACCATTGCTTGAAAGTCCACTTCTGCATCAACCAGAGCTTTTGAGATCTGGGCTGCTTGCTGAAAATGAACATTGTCTGGGAATTAAAAAACAGAGACAATATACACTATTAAATACAGTGTGTCACATGTAAGGAAGGAAGAAGAAAGATCAATGAATAAGCCCAGCCACCGTCCTTCGTCCCTCTTTATGAAAGAGCAGCCATACAGAGATGAACCGAATTGTTCTCAAGGCCACATAATTGTCATGCCACTTTGTGCTTCTGTTTTATTAGCAGCAACACTGCAACTTTGTATGAACTGATGATGATGTCCAATTAACAACAGCTTACCATCTGCTGTTCCATGGATCAGAAGATAATCAACATCTCGGAAGTTCTCAGCTCTGGCCATAACAGTGGAATTCTGGAAGAAGAAGAAGAAGAAGAAGAAGAAGAGATTGGATTTATACCCCGCCCTTCGCTACCCAAAGGTGTCTCAGAGCGGCTTACAATCTCCTTTCCCTTCCCCTCCCCACAAAAGACACCCTGTGAGGTGGGTGGGGCTGAGAGAGCTCTGACAGAAACTGCTCTTTTATCAAGAATAGCTCTTATCAGAACCACGGCTTGCCCAAGGTCATCCAGCCAGGTGCAAGTGGAGGAGTGGGGAATCAAACCCGGTTCTCCCAGATTAGAGTCCGCTCACTTAACCACTACACCAAACTGGCTCGTGTGTGTGTGTGTGTGTGTGTGTGTGTGTGTGTGTGTATACAGGGTTCATAGTATCTCAGTGTTTTAGGTGGGTAGCCATGTTAGCCTGGAGTGGAAGAACATTAAAATTTAGAAGCACGTAGACACCAACAAATTTTCCAGGGTATAGGTTTTCATGAATCAAAGCTCACTTTTTATCTCCGAGACACTTTTTTTCCACTTGACATTCAGAATATAACACCAGTCTGTGCACATGCCTTTGATGGTCTTATGACAGTCATCTCTGTCATCACTGGGCAGGTAAAGGCTTTTAGCTCAGGTTGTTTTGTAATGAAATATAGATACCACTTCTCATAAGTATAAATGAGAGCAAATATTCAAGGCAAGAGCAATTCCATCACCTTCTAGATGTTCAGATGATGTTGTAATGACTTTTCAAAAGATTATAAAAATAATGGAGCGTGTATCATTGGTTTCCAGATACGATTGGTCAGGGCCAAACCTCCATATTCAAAAACAGTCTGCCTCTGCTTGCCAGATGCTGGGAGGGAGAGAGGGAGGGAGGGAGAGAGGGAGGGAGGGAGAAATAATAACCCAAGCTATAGTCCATAAAAAACCCCTTTAGTATTAAGTCAATACAACACATTGTTTATCATTTCAGAAAGGGCCCCCCACCCAAACATACAGGGAATAGTGGGATTTGTGTGTGTTTTTAACAACAAGAACAACAACCTTTACTGGCATACCAAACTAAAGGAAAACAAACAGGAGGAAAATGAAATCCTAATACATATCTCTCCATTTAGAAGCCAGATACAGAAAATTCGCCACCGTTTCAATAATTACAGCACTTTGGGTGGAAAGAAAATAGAGGGTCTTATGTTCATCGAATCAGCCAATTAGATCCAGTAATAACCGATCTAAATATGTAATACAAATGTCAGAATAATAGGTACAGTGCAGAAAAACATGCTGAATACTTTCTACTTCATTCCTGCCACAGTCACATACCCTTTGCGCATATGGAGACTTTTGAAACCTCCCATGAAGTACTGCAGAAGGCAATACATTAAAATGGGCTAACATATAAGCTCTGTGAATAAGCAGATCGAAGAGGCAGGCGAAATAGATTGCTAGCAAACCAATAGGAGAAATGCCTAAACTCAAGGGAGAACATGTATCAGAGGTGTTAATACACCTGCCAAAGAAATTTGCAAAACAATTTTTTTTAAGTCATTAAATTTCTTGATCACGTGCTTTAATAGGTTCCCCAGTTATTCACTAAGTGTAAAAAAGCTTGCTTATTTTGTGTGTAATAATAATTGAGTGCTTGCCAAGTCATAACTGACTTTTGGAGACCCCTCAAAAGGGTTTTCAAGGCATGAGATAAGCAGAGGTGGTTTATTTTGTTTGTTTATTTATTTAATCCATTTCCCCCCCCCTCGCAAGCAGGCTTAGGTTTGCTGTTGCCTTCCTCTGCACAGCACCCTCAGTCTTCCTTGGTGGACTCCCATCCAACTACTAACCGTGGCCATTACCTTAAATTTACAGGAATATGTTCAAAACATGCTGTATAAAACCACACTCATCTTGTGCTACACATGGTCATCAAAACCTCTCATGTTACCACTTCAGCATGAAGATGATGAATAGCTCATTGAAATATTCCCTCCCCTCCCCCAGAAACATTATCTGCATAGAGAAAATGAGTACTTGGGGTGAAGGTTAGGTGAGAATCCTTCCTGACATGCACCTTGAATGTAATTTAAAAAACAAGGTTGGGATGAGGCTAGACACTGTAGCACATGGGTGTCCTTCTGATGACCCACCACCACCTGAAGGTGGACACAGTATTCTGCATGAGTTGAACCTCACCATCAAGGAAAGCCCCATATGGAAGCATGTCCACTGTAACATATGACACTCTAGTATCTCTTTTTACCAAGCAAGCAAGCTGAGTAATGTGGCTGGACCACACTTTCAAACACAGCACTCCAATCACTACATCTCATTGGGTTTACTGGCTGGTCACTGGATAGTCCTGTACATTTCAATTTTGCATGTCAGGGGAAAACATCTGACACAGTATAGCTTTGTGTTTCTGAATGGGCTAGATCACAACCAACTCAAAGAAGCCTATGAACAAAAAACAGGACATCCTGGTATCAGAAAGAAAGATTAAACATATTTTCCATTAGACTCTGATTCAGGGAGGACAGCCCATGTTTGGAACCTCGACTTGACTGGAAAGGAAGAAAAATGATGAGAGATGCGCCATGTGTGGCTGGACCTTGCCTCGAATATGCAGAGCTGATTGTGCTATTCCTGTTAATGGTATATTAGTGCATGTGCCACGCTTAACAGATGGTCAACACAGTCCACTTTGAAGCACCAACTTCAAATCTGAGGAAAAGATGGGAACTGATTCCATCTCCACTCTTTCTATTTCAACAAGTGATTGATGCTGTCAAAGTGCTGTGAAAGTTAACAACTAGCTGTTCAAGTGGGCGCAGAGGTGCAAATTCTCACATGCAGCCATGAGAAACTATGGAAAAATGAAGAACTACATTGCACAAAGATTTTGGTATTGCATTCTTCTTGGTTCACTGGTTACTCACGTAAACTACTGAGGTTGAAATCTGAGACTCAGCACAATGCCTTTGTGGCTTGCAGGGAACAGATACAGTGAATCAAAGCATCTGGGCTCAAACAAAACCAACTTTAGTGTCATAGTGTGATTGACTCTTCTCTGTTTCGGTCAGTCAACGTTGCATATAAGTTGCTCTCAAGAATCAGGAGACAGCCAGTAATGATGTCACTGTCCACATATCTCAGTTGTTAAGTAAAACTTTCTGAATTTTGTTCATAATGCTCACAAGGTAAACTGGGCCAAAAGCTGTCCACCCTAGCAAGGGAAGAGCTGAGCCCCACCTTTTCTGATCTGGGCTTTCAAACAGCACAACACTGATGTGGGCCATTGGGATCTTTTTTTTTCAGGCAAAATAAATCTCTGAGCATGACTAAATAGTTTCCATGAGTCCAACTGCGGAAACCCTCTGCTGCCCTCTGTTACTCTTTGGCTCTCAGGCCATCACAATAAGAACAGGGCTTTGTTAAAAAGATCACACAGCAGTCAACATTTTATCAGCACTCAACAAACAAGTTAAAGTTTGGCTGGAATCTGAAGGTCTCTCTCCCTTCGGCATATTTTTTGGATAGTAGAACAAATGTCATATCAGTACAAGATGGCATATTTACAAAATTGTACCCTGTTTTGCATAACCTAATGATGCAGCAGTTCTTGAGGACTGAACATTTCAAATCTGCTAGCAAAAGATTGCCAAATCTATGACTGCTTCAAATTCTTGCCAACGACATATCAAAATTCAGAGAGAGAGAGAGAGATGCAAAACAACCTCTTTCACAAGTTTAACAGTCCTCCCTGGTTCATGCTCCTGGCAGCCCCATGACTAATAGTATCTGCCACTCCTGTGTCGTCGTCCCCCCCTCCCCATAAGCCATCAGCTCTGTCTTTTTTCCTCGCACATTATGTCAGTCCAGTTTCATCCATGGGCTTTCTAGGGTAGCAAAATGTGTGAATTCTCACCTACTAGGTTTCCCTTCCTTTCTGGTCTGCCATCCACACACACACACATACAAAACACACATAAGGAGGTTCTCTGTTGTGTATTTATTCTCCCTCTCTCACACACAAGCAGTAGGCCATTTTATTATTATTCCCAAGCCTTCAGAGCTATACAAGTAACCTTTTCAACATCCTTTTTTAAAAGATGTTTACAAAGATGTTGGAGAGGGCTGAGGTTTAGGAATGATCTTCCTGTGGCATGCTGGATTCTATGCACACATGTAAAAATGCACTTCAGATCAGGGCACAAACTACAATCATAGCCTCAAGGAAAAGCTTCAGTTTTTTGAACAGAATCTTTGACTTTCCAAGACAAGCAAGCATTCTTGGAAGCTTAACAGCATATGGGCTCTCACTCTTTAACAAGGCAGTCATTTAAGGCTGATTCATGCAACTTTATCACCTGAAGACTGCCCCACCAAGTGATGCCTTGCAAGGGTATAGGGGCCATTACGAGTATAATATTATAGACAGGCCCTTCACCATACTTCATCTGAAATCAAAACCAATGGAATCCATTCAAATAATCTGGCTGTCTTCAGGTGCATGTACCAGGGAATGCACATGCCTGGGGGAGCTAGGTTTCAAAGTATCATTATGCACCCTGAGTGTCTCATCACTTCAGATTAAGGATCAAGTGTCCACAGTTGACATTCCTCCAGTCAGCAATAACAAAAGCTGACTGTGCATCATATCCCTTGATGTACGATGACAGTAGCCACATGCACTAATTTAGAAGTGGCACAACAATACTGAAAAACACATTTCATCATTGGGTCCATATCTTAATCTGCAGAATAAGAGAATATAAGAGAAGCCAATGCTGGATCAGGCCAATGGCCCATCCAATCCAACACTCTATCACACAGTGGCCAAAAATACCAGGTACCATCAAGAGGTCCACCAGTGGGGCCAGGACACTAGAAGCCCTCCCACTGTTGCCCCCCCCCAAACACCAATAATACAGAGCATCACTTGCCCCAGCCTGAGAGTTCCTATCTATACCTTGTGTCTAATAGCCACCGATGGACCTCTGCTCAATATGTTTATCCAAATCCCTCTTGAAGCCATCTTGAAGCAGTTTAACAGTACATTCATAAAAGTAGAAAAACTGTTTTATAATCATATTGACATGAGATGTTAATTTTTTAAAAAAAGAATCTCTTCCCTTAAAACAAACAAGCAAGCTTCATCCTGTTTAACTATTTTTGTTAAAAGAAACACACTGATATAATGGCATCATCTGAATGAATATGATGGAACCCACCACCTCTTCTGATCTAGGACAACCCTGCAGCTTGTCACTTCCAAGATTGACTTCAAACAGTGCAATGGTGCAAAATCAGGTAAAATATATTTTATTACTCAGTTAATGGGAATTTTAACTAAGTAATAAAATATACTTTTACCTGATTTTGCACCACCGGCAGCCTTGGCCTTATTTTTAATCTCCTGTGGTGGTGTAGTGAACACAGCAATGAGGGCAACCACCCACAAAAGACTGGCTGGTGCCCATATTTCTTTATCAGTACCTGCATAACATGGGGGTGTTCAGTTCCCTTTGATAATAAAAGAACATCCCAGGTGGTTTAAGCCAAGAAGTGTGGGGCTGCACACAAAATAGGTAGGCTATTATAATTTTATTATTCTGCTTGGGATGCCTGTATTCTGGTTCTTACTCTGAACAGCTGAATACAATGTGTTTTAATGTTATGCTGTGATTAGCAAGCACATATGATAAGCAGAGGTGCTGAACTGGACTATCGGTCTGCTGTACACCTCCTCAGTTCAGCTGCACTCCAAGGCTTTTCAGCTTTTGGAAAGAATCAGATTTGCAGCCTAAGCTTGTTCCCTGAGACGCCCATAAACTTGACTGTTCAAGATCCTGACTCTGAGTCAATAATTCACCCAGTTGCAGCAACACCAGTTCATATTTCCATCCCTGGTACGTTGCAATCGCTGAACTATATGCTGCTTACAACGAAGTGCTTTCCCCACCTAGGTAGGGTTGTCCTAACTAGTTCTTCCTAGGTTTAGGATCCTAGAACAATGAAACTGACTACTTGCACTGACATTGCTAAGGGAGGATGGCCTTCACTGAACTGATTTTTTAAAAACATATTCCTGTGTAAAAAAGAGAAATATTGATATCTGACTCTTGAAGAGAGAATGTATAATCCTGAGAAGAGGATGGCTGGGAGCAGGAGGGAGGGATGGAACCAGGGAAGGCACCATGATTTCAAGATCATCAGGACACTGGAGACAGAGACAGGAGAAAAATCCACCCAATTCATTCCTTATTGTATGAGACATGTTGAGGAGGGACATCTTCCCCTTGACCGTTGCAACATAAATTGAACAAGTGTTCCCTTTTCCACCTTTAGGGGAAGCTATGCACTGTGACAGCCTAACCATTCTATCTGCTCCCTCCTCCTCCTAGCCTGAAACCTCTCCAATTTAATCCTCTGAGTAACACATTGGAAACCTTTCGCTCTTTGGTACTGGCAGTTTCAACGTGGACACTGCCAGCAATGGATGCTATGCCAAGAATATCCGACTCCTGGCATGAAAGGATTCCACAGTCCTCTGGTGCCATCTGTGCCGTGAAGTTGCAGAGTGACTTTCTGCACCCGGAGCACTAACATTTCAATCTGTAGCAAGTTACGAGGCATTCATTTGCATAAGTGACTCACTGATCTTAACAAGAACCCCCCCCAAAAAAAATTTATTCAAAAGCAGAACACTTTTTGACTGGGATAACATGGGGAGCTAGGATTTAAGTGGTCAGATTAGATGAGGGAATTAACAAGTGCTTGGAATTCCAAGGCAGTGGACAGAAGAACAAAACACGCAAAAAGCTAAAACAGCAACAACCAAAAAACAAAAAAAACCCTCTCATTTTCTTGCAGTGAGGATTTTCCCCAGAAAGTGTTCCCCCCCACATGAGGAGGAAAACAAAATTCAAATTAGATTATTCTGTTATAGGAAAAAGCAATTTCAAGAAAGGATGGTGTGAAGTGCAGAAAGAGAGGGACAGAGTGGGTGCTTTCTAGTTTTCCGATCTAATTCCTCTCCCCAGGCTACATTTTCCTACATGGGGTGCTGGATGCATGCTTGCAATAGTATAGAGGGGGAAAGAGTTACCATGTCAAAGCAGCAGGTAAGAAAAGTAACCTGCCGCAAGATTCCTGTGCTCCAATTCAACTACTTCTAAAGGAACTTCTCTTTTACAAAAGTGGCCATCAAAATTTTGTTATGCATTTGCATCTAATACCCTGATTTTTGAAAAATCCAGTATTCCATATATTCATTTGCCTTCTCTGTTTCCATTTGCTGACTTTCACAGCAGGATAGCACTCTGAACTTGCACACACCTGTTTTACTTAGATACCTTGCAGAGCGATTGGGCCCTCCTTTACAGATTTTGCAGACTCTGCATTTATACTGCATAAAAGGGATACACATCTGGCTGTGCATCAAGAACTGCCCAGCTGCCAGGAATGGATACAAATGGTAAACATAGTACAATGTGAAAATGACGCATAATGAACTGGAAGTTGAATCCTACACTGTGTTAGTGATGGGCACTAGCTGAGGGACCTGCGTGGATGAAAAGCTATGCACACAGGTGGCTGCCATGAGAATCAGCTTAGTAAAAATAAGCCTGTTTATATTTATTTAGAAAATTTATATCCTGCCTTTCAGCCAACTCAGGGCCACCAGCAACTAAAACAGAGTAATGTAAAAACATATTCTAAAACAAATTAAAAACCAGAACTAAATTCAGAAGGAAGGACAGACTAAACAAAAAAGTCTTCACCCTCTGGTGGCAGACAGCGAGAGAAGAGGATGGACATATACCCCTAGGGAGGGAGTTCCATAAACTTGGTGCCACCACGGAAAAGGCCCTCTCTCAGGCTGCCCCCCACCTACTCAATACACAGGTGCACCCAAAGTAGGCGTTCAGAAGATGACCACAGTGATTGTGTAGGTTTGCACAGGAGTAGGAAGTCCTTAAGGTGTCATGGCCCCAAACTGTACAGGTCAACACCAGCTACTTGAATTGGGCCCAGAAACAAACCAGGATCTAACGAAGATAAGCCAAAACTGGAATCATATGGTCCCTATGACCCACTCCAGTCAACACAATGGCATAATCACCCGGGTGAGGTGCGGGAGGGCGGGGCCTGGAGCTCCCTGCTGGTGCCCGCTGGAGGTCGCCGCCGGCTGTGGGGAGGACACACTTCCGGTGATGTCAGAGGGTGTGGCATATGCTAATGAGTTATGCTAATGAGTCCCCCTAACTCTTTTTCTACGAAATGACCCTGACCCACTCCAGGCAACACAATGGCATAATCATGAATCCTGCAATGGCAGGATAAGTATTCCTCTTTATTTAGGCATGATATGGGAAAGAAAAATCCCATGCTGTTACTGGTTCATTCACTTAGCTCAGTGCGCAACAACTTGAACTGCATCTACTAACTTGCGGTACATAACTGTGTGAGGGTGGAGGAATCAAATGGCCAAAATATACTGGATGCAGATTTGGCATCTAACTTTGTGCTAGCGCCTTAATACCCCTAAAAATGTCCTATATTTATGCCTTCTCTCTCTTTCTCTTTCTCTCCCTCTCTGTGCACAAAAACCAGTGGAAGAGTGTTCATAAAGACAAATGCACATACACACAAATGAGGCTTTTTTGCAACCAAAATTGGCTCTTGATCAGACCAAAAGGGGATGCTCTGGATTCAACTATGCTGTTTCTCTTCAGATACAAGTACAGCTTGCTGGTTAGAGACTTCTCCAAGCAGCAAGTCATTTGAACGAAACTAGCAACACCGATAGTTTCAGGAGTTTTCATCTCAAAAACGTAGCTGTATTTCAAACAATAATCTTGTGTATGTTTGTGTGTGAGCTGAGCCTAACAAAAAGATGGGTTCATTGTGAAAGCTTGTTCAGAATCTCGTTAGACAGCCTTATACTACAGGAGTTCTAGTTTAGTTCGAAGTTTCTAACTGCAAGATGCATGGCACACTCCAATCTATCAACAATACCAAATGTGGTATCTGAAACACAGTTTACCATAGTTTTTGAAAAAACGCTTAGGGGGGAAAAGTATCTGTGTAATCCAATAAAAAACTGGAGGAGCATAACTATTATAGGATTTTTGAATCGGGAACAAGTATATGAGTAATTCATTTAGAAACCATCTGGAATAGATGAACATTCACCCAACTGTATAAAGTATGCATTCTCTATAAAAACTGTGTATTGTAAAGTCTTCAAAAATGCTCAGTGTAGCTTTGCATCTATAAAATTATGTTCGAAAATACAACTTTACCTCATAGTTATGCAGATTATCATCTTCTGTAGGAAGACACATATAACGTTCAGTGTATATTGAATCTGTAAAATTAAACATGTATAGAGAACACTGTTAAAATATTCTCCTTTTAAAGACAGTCCCAGCATGAATAGGTTGGGTCACAGCCATGTAAAGAACACCTCACCAACTTGAACAAACAAACAAGTATTCTAGGTAACCACATTTGGTTATTAATAGTCAATACATGGCAACAGCATTGTTAAGCATGTCCAAATACCTATGGTCAAAATACAGCTAGTATTTTTTGCCAAGTTTCACCTATTGGGAATCCCAGTCCTTTCTCCAGTCCCTGTCACATGTGCCTTTTGTCTATGCAGGTCCTATGATCCCTGGCATAGTCTTTTTTGTGGTCAAAGGAGATCCCCTCCTCTTTTTTTCACCAGTGAAAAATGTGGTTGAAAGCCAATTTTCTGCAACCTCTATTTTAGAACCCAGTTGTAACCTGGGACTGAAAGCATATCTCAGGAAAATATTTATTTATTTATTATTTGTATTTATATCCGGTGGGTAACATCATATTATAATAAGTACATTACAATTTAAAACACAATATAAACATTAAAATCAGTGGGTACACCTTAAGACAAAAATCAGGAGGCTATAAGGATTCTGGCCCAATGATGCAGATGGAATAAAGGCCATTTGTCAGTGGATGAGTGGGTGACAGCAACCTCAGGGAGGCCATACATGGGTGCCCGCTGCCTCAACCAAAGGCCTGGCGGAACAACGCCATCTTGCAGGCCCTGTGGGATTGAAGGCGATCCCTCAGGGCCCTGATCTCAATAGGGAGTATGCTCCACCAGGCAGGGGCCAGGACAGAGAAAGCCCTGGCCCTGGTCAAGGCAAGATGGATGTCCCTCAGGCCAGGGACCAGCAGGAGGTGTTGATCTTTAGAGCGTAATGCTCTTCGGGGTGTATATGGGAAGAGGTGGTCCCTTAGATATACAGGAACTTATGGAAAAAATATGGAAAATATAAGAACTTCATGGTTTTACAATAGTCAAATCTTATCAAGGATGTGAGGGATTCAAACCTAAAGACAAACTGAATTCTGCCAGAGATATGTAGTGCCCAAGCGTTCCTGTACTCTGTGTAGGCTAAGAATGCCACCCTGAGCAGAGTGTTCCATGGAAGGCCAGATAATGAAACTGAAGCTCAAATACTTTGGCCACCAAATGAGAAGGGAGCACTCACTGGAGAAGACCCTGATGCTGGGAAAGATTGAAGGTCAAAGAAGACGGGGACGGCAAAGGATGAGAGGGTTAGACAGTGTCATAGATGCAACGAACATGAAGTTGAGCAAACTTCAGAGGACAGCAGAAGACAGGAGGGCCTGGCGGGATCTGGTCCATGGGGGCGCGAAGAGTCAGACTCGACTGTGCGACTGACCAACAACAAATAAGTGTTGTTTCCTCATATTAGTAAACACTACCCTGTGTCAATGTTAAAAGCAAGGAACAAGCAGTAGGATATTAATTTTTCAAAATAGATCAGAAATCAGATGTTAATATTTGAATTCTAATACTTAGCTGAGCATATGAGATCTAATCAGCAATGAGATTCAAATGATGAATATTCCTGTCAAGTATTAAAGAATGTGACCCTTCCCCCCCCCAGAGCTCATCGTAAGCAAAAGAAGTTAGTAGCATTGCTAATGAATTTTGTGGCATTCAGAAATGATCCCACAACACTTTGGAACACATGGCACTTGAGGAATGCAAATGCAGACATTTGCATTATAGTAAAATTTCAAATATTAAGTAATTTTGTGCCTTTTAAAGGTTAAGCAGATTATTTTCACTTTCATATCCAAGTTTTTTCAATGGAAAATATGATCCAGGGACACTGTGTAATACCTCACATGAGTTCATGAAAGCAGACTAAATGGCACTTTGTGTGGGAGGAGTATGCAGTCAATATAAAATCTTTTGCATCTCAAACATGTACATACACATTGCAAAGCATATATAACATTTGCAAGTTTGCTCTTAATGCTTTTCCAGACAGTTCTTCAATTTTCTTACAAACAGGCACATACCATAAAATTGCCAGCGTGACACGGGGGCAACAGCTATTCCGCACTTGAACACACCACTTCCTGATCCAAGCACCATGGAGGTCGCATAGCCACCATATGACTGGAAGAAAATAAATCCTGTTCTTTAAAACGGGTTGAGTGCTCTCTGTTGCTATCCACAGATGTGGAGTGGGCGGCTTAAAAAGCCTTCTGCTGGTGCCTCAATATGTTGGGTGTAAATCAGGGGCATTCAGTTAGGCCGCAGAGAGGTATACTGGAATTTGAGCACTGTACTCAGATTTCGCAGACCTACTAAATGATAACTGGTTTCCCTCATATCCTTTTAGCTGTCTAAAGTACAAGGTCTGTAAGCTGAGGAGAAGTCCCTGTGGTGTCAGATGGACATTCTGCCTTCTCTGACTCTTCAATGCACTGATCTGTCACTGAGTTACAATGGATTAGTTCCCCCTGTTTTGCTTCATAATATCTTTGGATTTTCTGAGCTTTCTGAGAAATTTTTTGGAAAAACATGTCTTTCTGAGAAAAAAATAAACACATGAGAACTCACATGCTACCCATGATGCCAACAACTTACCCCTGTGAGATCAGGTAACACTTGCAGCACAGCGCAGAGGCTTACAAGGAGCGTTTTACAGTTCCCTCCGCAAGGGTAATGCTGCTTTTGCAGGGGTTGGAAACTGGCAGGAAAGGCTGGTTAGTGATGAACCCCTGAGCTAGGCTCAAATTTTGAAGAGTCGTGCCTGGTTTGTAATGGCTACACATTTCTAAACTGGGGAGCATCATATTCTGAAATCTGCCTCCATCACTATTGGTTATGCTGAGAGAGAAAGTGATCAGAGAACAGATGCTTTGGCTCCAGGCCTCTATTTCCCAAAACACAGACGATCCACTAACAGTGCATTGCTAAGCAGAGGTACAACCTTCTAAATCAACTAAAGTCATAAGAAGGGTGCAACCATTGCTTACTCATAACAATAATATTTCCTTAGCAATTTCCTTAGTAATTTATGTTTTGTCATTACCAAGAGAATTAATAATACTTACCCAACCCCAAATAGCTATTCTCGTTGGATCAACAAAGTTCATTTTTGAAAATTCTCTATGAAGAAAAAAACCCCAGAAGATACACAAGTCATGCAGAGACACATATGAGCAAACAATGATTTCAGGCATACTGTCTCCAACGTCTTCCTATGTAATGGCTGAGAACCTGGCTTTAAAGGTCAGGGCTGTATAGCTACTTGAAATAATTCTAGGAGACCTCATTTGAAATTCACAAAAAAGGCTGAATAAAACAGGCAAATCTCAAAGCCAGCCTTGTTTGAAACATTCTAATTTGACAATGGCACATTCATTCATATGATCAAGGACTCCCCAACAGTGCATCAGTGGTAAATTAAGGTTTGGGATTATTTTACTTTAGGTAAGATTTCTGATTGTGTGGCCCAGACCAAAGATAAATCTCATCATTCTAACCTAATGGAGATGTGGCTCCCATTACTAGACAAGGCGGCAGGTGACCCTGCCATAGGGAATCACCTCCTACGAAGAAGTCATCATGCTCTTATGGTTTTTTATTAAAGGACATATCTGCATAACTTTGTATTTTGTAACTTGTAACCTCATGTTCTAGAGTTGTTATCTTCTTGTGAATGTTTGTATTTTGAAGTTTAATAGTTTGTAACAATTTTTTTTAAAAAAAATGAAATTAAAAAAATTAGATGATCAGGGACAACAATGGCATATTACAATATCGCAAGTAGGCTAAAATGGACTGAAGACACATTATGAAGATTTTCTTCTGAAACTGAGGCACAGCCTGCTTGAATGATAGACAGCTTGGGAATCATATTTAAGCCACTGAACTCTTTTGGAGGAAATGTGAGTTATATGCAATGCTCCCTCTAAGCTGTGGAGTCTTGTGAGCAAAAATTCTACTTTGTGAGCGACTGGCATTAAAGCTGTGAGCGAGCAATTTGGCTACTGCATAAATTAGTTTGCTCTGGAGCCATCCTTCCTGGGCTAAGACAAAAGTGTGTGAGCCGGAGGCTAAAAAACTGTGAGCTAGCTCACGCTAACTCAGCTTAGAGGGAACACTGGTTATATGTATATTAATAAAATATTCCTCAAAATTCAGGATGGCTTCATTCAAAAGCCTTGGATGCTTTTGGGTTAACTGTGGATTAACAAGCAAGCATACATACCACACTTGATGCAGTGGTGTGGTTGGAAGACAGATGAGACAGCTTCTTAGCTATGGGCCTGGTCAGTGACTGGATGGGAGTCCTGTTGAGAATCCTACGTATGATACCTGATGCTAGGAGAATGGTGGGACTAACACTGCAAAGCTAAGCAGACCTGTAGGGTTTCCAAGCAAGAGAAGAACAAAGGCAGTTTGCCATTGCCTGCCTCTGTGTAGTCTCCCATCCAAGTACTAACCAGGGCTGACCCTGTTTAGCTTCCAAGATGAAGTGACATCGGATTAGCCAGGACCATCTAAGTCAGGGTGAACAGATTTACAAGTTACAAGGATGCAACTCTGCTTAGAAACTGAAAAGTGAGTGTATTTAAAAAATAAAAAAATGTTCACACATAGCACTACCAGTGAAGCAGAAAATCCTTGGATAGGATTTTATTTTCCATAAAACATATTTATTATTTTAGTAGGATCAACAGCATTGAATCTGTTTCATTGAAAACAACAGAGTGGCCACCATGGAAAATAGCACTCAACAACATTTAAAAAAAAAAAAATGGCATTGTACTCTAGATACATTCGTAAGGGGAGAGAATAAGAATACAGCATGTTACGAAATATTTTTGTTTGGATTTTCATCCTATAAAACCCCCCATCAAAGACTTGCAGTAACATCTAATTATGCTAAAGAAATGCAAGTATAAAATTTAATGAAGGAAAGAACTGAGAAATGTGAAAGGCAAATTTAAATTTGCTTTTAGCGACTTACAATGACAAATTTGTAACTGCTAAAAAGGGGAACCCACTATTCCCATAATGCACTGTTCCCATATTATTTTTTCAACAATATTATACATTATTATATTATCTTGTTGACAATGACTACAATTCACCAACCACTTCATCTAGCAGGTCAAAGTTCTGTTGACTGTATTATATTCCAAAAGCAGGACTATTGGGGGGCAGGAACACACAGGAATGGAGTTCCGGTTGGTTTCAAAGCTGGCCACACCCACACCCACTACAGCCAAAACCTTTGTGTGGGCGCCCAGGCAAGCCAAGGGAAGGCATGGGGTGTGGCCTAATATGCTAATGGACTGTGCTGTCAGGGTGTGGCCTAATAGGCTAATGAGTTTCTGCTGTTTGGTGTGGTCTATTATGCTAATGAGTTCCCTCTGGGCTTTTTCTACAAAAAAAGCCCTGTCCAAAAGGAATTTTTTTACTTAACTAGATAAATAGATACAATCCGTGGAACATCTGAAACAAGGGGACAATAGGTTGACATTCTGACATCCATCACCTCTTTCTTACCAGAAGTTGGGAATACCACCTCATCTAGAGAATCTGTACAACTGAATTTTGCTCAGAAAATCCTGATAGGGATGATCTGCTATGGGGGAAGTCAAAGGACAAAATCTAAATATCTCTTTATCTGGATCCTACACAGATTGGAGAATGATTAGGCTGTTTTTTTAAATTTCTCCTGCTCCAACATTTCAACTCAGTGTTTTCTTCAAAAAACTAACAAGGGGAAAGGAGTTGCAAAGCTGTGCTTAATGTCTCCCCCATTTTCTAAGACTTTCCTGCTAATGCCCTCCTAGCAGTTTTTTTAACTTGCTTTCCTGGCTAGGCTCATAAATTGGAACACACTAGAGAAAAATGTCATGGAGGGAAGTTACTGGGGAAATGGTTAAGACCAAACAATCCTTCTTGTAAATATCCCCAAACTTTCATGTTTCATTATCTCTGCAGATTTCAACAGTAACTTTTCAGCAGTCTATCGCTATAGTGAAAGAGCTACAGAACAGAATTTTCCATTCCTACAACCATTATACTGTAGGAATATTATCTATCAGTTTATAGTGGACAACATGGATGTATAGCTGGGATTCAAGGAAATCTCTTGAGTAGTTCTGTACTCCCTGGTGGGGGACTTTGGGGGTGTTACGGGAGGGGGAGGGGACATCCCCAACGCGATGACATCAAGCAGAAGTGACATCATCATGTTGGGAACCAGTGCCCCCTGTGAATTCGCAGCTTGGAGTGCAGGCGTGCAGCCCCTGCTTTTTGCCAAAAGTGTTTAAAGGGTCCCTTTACATTTTTTGGGGGGGGAAGCAAATCCACAGCTTGGAGTGCAAACATGCATGGTCACCCCTCTCCCTCCCTCCTGCAAGATTTAAAAGAATCTCCTGCTGATCGGTAGGCCACATGCTCCCACTAGTCAGCTGGAGGGCCCTTTAAATTTTGCAGCGGGGGGGCCGTGGCCGGCCACTCTTGGGGTTGGGGCTTGGGGCAGGGCTTCCCCCACCAGCCAGCTGGCTGGTGGTGGGAAGGAGCCCCCAAGATTGGGGGAACCCCTGCTCAGACCAGGGGTCTGGCAACCCTAGGCAAATACCTGCCTCGCATGCAGAAAGTTTCAGGTTCAGACCCCAGTATATCTCCAGTTGAAAGGATCAGGTAGTAGGCGATATGAGAGACTTCTACCTGGTGACCTGGGGAGCCACTACCAGTCTGAGTATGCAATACTGACCTTGATGGACAAAGAGTCTGATTCAGTATAAGGCAGCTTCATGTATTTTCACTTTCAAAAAGATTTTATGATAGGGCAAGGGGAAGTTTTGTTGTTCAAAGAAAAAAAAGGGTCAAAACTCCAATACGGTATATTATCAAGCATCTCCTTGGATCTTAGTCACAGAAGCACACTAAAGAAGAACCCAGCTAAAAACTATTTCCTTTCTATCACTGGTTCATTTTCTAATGGAACTACTTTTTTTACTGCCCATCCTTACTGTTTATGACTTGTCTGCTAAAGAGGGAAGGAAATATTCTTGCCCATCCCATTCAGACACTACCTGCTGGGCAGAATGGCATAAGAGAAAAGGCTCCTGAAAAACAAGCATCTGCTTACCTGGCTGCCAAGATCTGATCTTCTACTTCGTAGGTTCCAAGCCTTCGATATATTGCGTGCATGATTTTATCTCCTTGATAGCCACTCCCTCTGCCATCAAAACTAGCCACAATAATCTGTTCCGTGCTTGCAAGATATGTAGCCCAACTGATTCGAAAGGCAAAATCAACTTTCTGACTACAGGGTCCTCCATACCTGTGAAAAATAGTTTCTGGTAATTTTGTGCATGCTATTTTAGTTTGTTCCATAGTTAACAGCAGTCTTTCCTCTTAAACATTAACAGGTCTGCAGAAGTTTCTTACTGTGTTTCAGTGGCTTAAGCATGTTATTTCAAAGTTTTATATAGCTTTTATTTTACTGAGGATGAAACCTATTTAGAAATCCACTGGAAGAAAGAAACAAATATTTTTGTTTGGGAAAAGTAAAATTACAAACTCATAATAAATACACAAACACATACATATTTGCACAGAAGACTTCAAGGGCAAACACTACTGAAAACAAAATTAGCAGACTGAGGAATGTAACACTTAAGTGCTAATACAAGTCTAATTATTTAGGATCGCTATGTGTCATAGTGTTAGTTTAGCTGGAATGCGGTCCAGTTTTGTAAAATGAGATGGTTTGTACAATGTGATTGTTCATTGCCATGAAGTACGTGTCTATTCCCTAGGTAAAATACGGTCTTTAAACATAATCTAATTGTGGTGATATTACATGCAAAACGGAATTATTCAAGAGGGCTTTTCTACAACAGGCAGTGGGGTGGCACTGAACAAAATGATCCACAAAGCTACTTGTCCAAATTATTAGGGACTGCAGTCTACACTACTGTGTATAGTCTGCTGTTAAATTGGATCCTGGTATGTAATTTTGTATCATTTAACATGTCATGTTAACACTTAGGCTTTGCCTCAGTTCTATTTTTTTTAGATTTCTGGTTGGTTCTACAACCTAAATACTATTTCATTGTTTACTGAATGTTTCATACTGTTGATTGTATTGACTCACTCTGTGTAATCTGCCTTGAGTCCCAGTGAGAAAGGAGGACTGTAAATAATGCAATTAAATAAATAAATAAATCCATCAATTGCTGAACAAGTAATGATTCATTCTCAGCCCTGATGTAAAACTGTTAACCGTTTTCATTTGGAGTGGGGGATATAAATTTAACCTAGCTGTCCACAGTGATAGGTACAGTGTCAGATAATTGTTCTAGATATCCGGAAGGGCCAATTTCTTAGATTTCAGGTGAGACCTATGCCACAGGACCAGTCAAGAAAGTCACCTCCCAACGATCTTTGTTACCATGAAAGAGCGAAAAGGCTTTCAGCAATCACCAAAATGGCAGTTCTCAAGGATGGTGGGTGTCATTGGAAATTCAAAGAGGCACTCTGATCTCCAGGAAAGCATTCACCCTTGCTAGTACTAGGTAGTTCTGAATTTGTTTTTATACACTATCTTAAATTCGTGTCATTGAAATACGATTGTCTTTAAAAAAAAACCACAGCCACTCTCAACTTTTCCACAGGCTGCCCTCCAAGTGACTCTACCAAAGATCAGAAGAAGAAATAGCAAGAATCACTTTCCTTGTCTGGAATTTAATAAAGAAAAGGTTGGTTCATTAATGCTCATTGAAATGTTAAGTAGGCAAATAATTAATAATTCAAGTGATAATTATGTAACACCACTAAAGCTTAAAAAATACAAATTAATAGGATCACAGAAAGCCTAAACAGTTGCAACTAACACATAATGTATTCCCCAGAGAGCCAATTTTCAGTAAATATAGAATATTTGCTTTTTATTTATCATGAACAGCAACTTTCTGTAATAGCAATTAGAAGAAGCAAGGTAATTAATGCAAATACATTAATATGTGCATAGTAGTGTGAGAGAAGAATGAAACAAAGAGCATATGTTCAGAGCTCAATGAATGTACCTCCTTTGTCAGTGTTTCTGAATTGCCTTTGCAGGTTCAGGAGGAGGACAATAGGTTTTTACTAATTGTGCAAAACATATAGTACAGTGTCCTAGTCCATGTTCATTTATTTTATAGTAAATATCAGTTGGTTATTGTGGGCTTAATCCAGAGAGCATATAAATGTCAGTGGGAGCATTTCAACTGATTTTAATAGGCCCTGAACCGCATCTCAAGAGAATTAACAAAGCAGCTGTTTTCAGTAGAACCCTGACTTTTTGCCCTTCAAGCTAATGAGCACCTCCTGTGTGCCCTTGTTTCTGACTGACACCCAGTAAATGTAAGGGGAAATCAACACCTTCTAGGAAAGACACATCTGAGAACTTACTGGAAGCCATTTCTCTATGTTACCAGATGATTTTATATGGCTGACAAAGGCAAGCTCTCTCCTCCGCACCCCCTCCCCCACAAATACAATCTTCACGGAAGTTTTGTATAAAAGGCAAGGGCTTTCTAGTGTACATGTTACAAAAATCTATATTGTTCTATGTGATCATTCAACCAAACGTATGCCTCTCTTCCATATTTTCTTCTATACAAATAGGGTTACCATTCCCCAGCTGGGGGCTGGGGATCCCCCAGTTTTGTGGGCTCCTGCCTGCTGCCAGCCAGCTGGCTGGTGGGAGGAAATCCCCCCCAAAAAACAGCGACATTGCCGGAAATAAACACAATGAACCTACATCACCCAGAAGGCACATCAGTGACATTGGGGGTGGGACACTCTGGTTTTTGGGCACTATGGTTTGAGGCCCCAAACCAGAGCATCACCCACAAAGTCACTGGCATGCCTACATCACTTCCGGGCGACATAGGCACATTGTGCGACATCACTTCTGGCTCCTGGAATATCCCCCCACCGGCATTTCTGATGGACCTGGCAATCCTATATACAAATCATAAGCTGATGTTAACCTATGTGTTCAGAGGAAATTACAGGCCAATCAGTCTGACATCAATACCGGGTAAGTTGGTAGCAACTGTTATTAAGGAGAGAATTAGTAGGCACATAGATGAACAAAAACTATTGAGGCAGACTCAGCATGAGTTCTGTAAGGGAAGATCTTGTCTCACTAACCTGTTAGTGTTCTTTGAGGGGATGAACAAACATGTGGACAAGGGGGATCCAATAGATGTTGTTTACCTTGACTTCCAGAAAGCTTTTGATAAAGTTCACCATCAAAGGCTCGTAATGACAAGTCCTCTTGTGGATCAAAAACTGGCTAATTAATAGGAAACAGAGAGTGGGCAATTTTCACAGCAGAGGGTGGTAAGCAGTGGGGTACCATAGGGATCAGTACTGGATCCGATGCTTTTTAACTTGTTTATTAATTATTTGGAGTTGGGAGTAAGCAGTGAAGTGGCTAAATTTGTGGATGACACGAAGTTGTTCAGGGTGGTGAAAACCAGGGAGGATTGGGAGGCACTCCAAAGGGATCTGTAAAGGATTGGTGAGTGGGTGTCAACGTGGCAAATGGGGTTCATTGTGGCCAAGTGAAAAGTGATGCGCATTGTGGCCAAAAATCCTAACTATAAATACACATTGATGTGGTCCAAACTGGCAGAGACTAACCAAGAGAGAGATCTTGGAGCCATAGTAGATAACTCACTGAAAATGTCGGAACAGTGTGTGACTGCAAAAAAAAAAAATTAGAAAGAGAACTGAAAACAAATCAGCCAGTATCATAATGCCCCTGTATAAATCGATGGTGCAACCTCATTTGGAATACTGTGTGCAATTCTGGTCACAACACCTCAAAAAGGATATAGCACTGGAAAAAGTGCAGAAAAGGGCAACTAGAATGATAAAAGGGTTGGAACACTTTCCCTATGAAGAAAGGTTAAAGCGCTTGGGGCCCTTTAGCTTGGAGAAACGATGGCTGAGGGGTGACATGATTGAGGTCTACAAGATAATGCATGGGATAGAGCAGGTAGAGAAAGAAGTACTTTCTCCCTTCTCACAATACACGAACTCGTGGGCACTCAATGAAATTGCTGAGCAGTTGGCTTAGAACAGATAGAAGGAAGTACTTCTTCACCCAAAGAGTGATTAACACATGGAATTCGCTGCCACAGGTAGTGGTGGCAGCTGCAAGCATGGATGGCTTCAAGAGGGAATTGGATAAACATATGGAGCAGAGGTCCATCAGAGGCTATTAGACACAAGATATAGATAGGATCTCTCAGTCTGGGGCAAGTGATGCTCTGTATTCTTGATGCTTGGGGGGAGGATAACAGTGGGAGGGTTTCTAGTGTCCTGGCCCCACTGCTGGACCTCCTGATGGCACCTGGTATTTTTGGCCACTGTGTGACAGAATGTTGGACTGGATGGGCCATTGGCCTGATCCAACATTGGCTTCACTTATGTTCTTATGTTAATTGGCATGACAGAGGATCAAAGGCTATTTAAATTTCATAGATGAAACAACTTTGGCCTTTAGCCTTTATGCTAAGCAGAATAGCAGTCTTTAACATCAAAACAAGTCACAGAAGTTCATGCACACAGCAGCCAATCCACGGTTGGTAACTATAATGGAACCAGTGTTCCCTCTAAGCTGAGTTGGTGTGAGCTAGCTCACATTTTAGCCTCCGGCTCACACATTTTTGTCTTAGCATGGGAAGGATGCCTCTAGAGCAAACTAATTTATGCAGTAGCCAAATCACTCGCTCACAACTTTAATGCCAGTAGCTCACAAAGTAGAATTTTTGCTCACAGTGCTCCACAGCTTAGAGGGAGGATTGAATGGAACCAATATGTAGACTCCTCCCAAGAGAAAGAGGAAGCAAATTAAAATCTCAAAATCAATTGTTCTGAACCTAGTCAAATAGTCTTTGTATGGTGCTTCGTACTGTTATTAGAAGTGCAAATGACTAGACCTAGTCCTAACAGGGAACTCACAGAGATTAGGCCTCCTCACAGAGAACCTGTGCCTGGGTTGAACCATTTTAGATGGCAGGTAAGACCTCACATAATTTTCCATATTAGAAAAACCCTCCACACAAAGGAAACAGAAGCTTAGCTAAAACCCTTTTTCTCAACTTCCAGTTTTTATCATGGAGATTTTATTTATGGAGGGTCACTCAGTCATGTGAATCCCTACTGCATTCTGAAGTGGTACAACCAGGGCATTTTCAGCATAAATGAGAACTAAGCACAGGTGACTGAGCAACTCTAAGCTTGTGAGTCTCTGCCACTGGGGCTTTAAGAATAGATGTGCGATTTCTCCTGCAACACATTGTTTCCTAGAGAAAAAGACCTACCTTGGGATTTACAAGGTTGAGCTAGTACCTTAATTAGCAACCTATACTAATTCTTTCCTGTAGCATATATAAACAAAACAAAAGGGGGATTCATGAGGATGTGCAGGGATGGGTTGCTAGAAAACCCAAGATGTTGGCCAGAGATGCAGGCTGCAAATATCATTTGTTGCTCTTGGTTTATCGGGCTGTTGTTGTTTTTTTAACTCAATACTAATGTGCACCACCAAATGAGAAGACCCTGATGCTGGGAAAGATTGAAAGTAAAAGAAGAAGGGAACGGCAAAGGATGAGATGGTTAGACAGTGTTATCGATGCAACAAACATGAAACTAAGCAAACTTTGGAGAACGGTGGAAGACAGGAGGGCCTGGCATGATGTGGTCCATGGGGTCGCAGAAAGATGGACTCGAATGTGCGACTGAACAACAACAACTGATATGCAAGCATAGGAATTACCTTAGGTTTCCTGAAAAATATAACCTAGTCCTTGGGCACCTGCAAAAATTTTAACCTACATTGAAGGGCCCCCCATCTCTATTAGATATAAGATAAATTAACTCAATGTATTTTTCCATCTCTTCAGGAATATTTGCCTATTTCACTGTTACTCAGCAACTGTTTCTTTTCTGCCTTCTCCCATTCTTCATAAAAGAAAGAAATAGGCATAAAAATGCTAGTCAGCAGCCAAAATGTAAAGTCTTTAAAGTTAGAACTGTTCTGCTTGAATCATTGTGATCTCTCAAATCAGCTAAGAGTACAGTCTTCATTCTTCCATCCACCCACATAATCTGGATGCCAAGGGTAAATTGAGAAGCATTCTTGGGGGTTGTTTCTGTTTCTTCTAATGAGTGGAACATCACCAATGTTTAATGGCAATATTTCTTGTATTATGCAATAGAGCATAAGCAGATATTGAATGAAAAAAAATAATCAAATAAAACTTTGGAACTCAGATTTCTTTAAAGCCAGTATTATGAAACAAGCTGTTCAAAAAAGGGGTGTTTCTGTTTGTCCAAATTCACTAATGCAATCAAAAACCTTGGGAAGAAAATGGTAACATTTTCTCAGACTTACACATCAATGAGTAGAGGATATTGCTTTGATTCATCAAAATGAGGAGGTAAGATCATCTGGTACCAGAATGCTGGAAGGAAGAATAAGGAAAAGTGATCACTGATAAAAACAAATAATTAACAGCTGAAAGATGCCCTCATTGAGGAGTAAACTCTGTTTGGAATCAGTTAAAATCTCAGCTTGATGGACACCCCTGCTAAATTATTACATTTAGGAACACCCAGCTTCAAGGGGATTTTGTATAAAAAAAATCTTCAAATCCAACAGAGCAGAAGTCTGGTCACTAGTTATCAGTTTTCTTTTAACTGAAAATGTCCACAAACAAATTGTCTGAAATTAAAATACAGAAATATAACCGGGAACCCCTATACAATATACTCGACAGGTCTACACAGAAGCAAGTCCCATTTAATTCAATGGGCTTCTCCCTGGAAAAGTGTTCTTAGGACTGCAGCCTATATTGAAGGGCTTAAGGACAGGAGCTGAGAAAACAACACTGGGGGAAAGGCTTAAAACCCGGTTTCTCATGGCCCAAACCAGAACCAAGCCCTTTACACACCTTATTTTAAAAGAAAAAATGCTGGAAGTTTCAGCAGCTGTTAACTTTTTAAAAATCTAATCCAACTAGTCTTACCATCTTTTTAGTAATTATGTAGAGTGGTGGTGGCGGGAAGAACCTTCAAGTCACAGCCGACTTATGGGAACCCCACGGAGGTTTTCAAGGCAAGAGATGATCAGAGGAGGTTTGCCACTGCCTGCTGCTGGGTAGCAACTCTGGACTTCCCTGGTGGTCGCCCATCTAAGTACTAACAACAGCCAACCCTGCTTAGCTTCCATAAATCTGACAAAAATGGGTTAGCCTGTGCTGTCCAGGCAAAGGCATTATGTTGGGTGCCAGTAACTTTATGGTTGGCTAGTATCTGCTTGTGCAAGGAAGCTAGATTTTAATTCTTCAGATGGCTTTGGGCAGTAGGCTGACCACCCTCACTCTGTATTTTCCCACCCTAATAAATCAAACATGATTACAATGCATTTTAGGGCATTTTCAATCTGTGCAGGACAAGATTTTAGTACTTCAGGAAAAAAATGGCTTGTAAACTACTGAATAAAATGAAAACGATGAGTTATCAACAGGTGTTGTAGATAGGTATCATGTGCAAACAAGTAGAACACAAGTACCAAAAATTTGAAGTGGCTTTGTGTGATGAAAGGTACAGTGCAAGGTAAAAAAACAAATAAAATTATTGTCTTGCTAATCTGAAAATGAAACCAGCCTTGGCTGGGAGGGCGGGTTATAAATCTGATAAATAAATTAAATAAACATGAGAACAAACCTGTTACATTTTAGTTAAAACGAGTGTGTCTCATATGCTTGTTTCTATTACAGGGACCATTTCAGGAGGGGCAACATTCTTAACAATGCAGATGTTCGATATGGTCATTGCAGAACTGGGAGGGGGGAACCTCTCTGTGTTTAAACAGTACATGGAATACTATGCCTCATAATACTTGTAGCAATGTAATCCACACTGGTCAAGCCACCATCCTTTTCTTTTAAACAAAAGGAATGGCATCTAGTTCATAGTCAGTATTAATAATTAATCACAGTAATAAGGGGTTTGAAACATGGAGAACAGTAATATCCCCTTTCTGAATAGGATCCCTGCTCTGCAGATAATCACAGTTTTAGTATTAGGTTGTTAACCGGCATCAAAACATATTCTAAACTTAAAACATATAGCCCTGTTCAGCAAAACAAAGGAATTTGTCTTACCTATGAGCTCCTACCCTGGACAGGTAAAGCAGCAAGAAAAAAAGGATTACAGAAAAGATGAATATGCAAGTGATAAGCAGAAAACGACATTTATAATTCAAACTGTGCTGCAAAATCACATCCTTTGCCCAAGTAAAAATATTACTGCAGAGAATAAGAAAGAAGCTCAAAGACGCGCGCGCACGCACACACACAGGATAAAGAAGGAGCATGTGTGTACAAATTAACAGCCCAAAAACACAGAAAGAAGAAAGAGAAGTACAAATAACTACATAAGTGTCTTGGGGCACCACAAAGACTAACTATATTTTATTCCAGCATAAGCTTCCCATTGATCCCAGTCTGTTTAAATCAGTGACTGATAAATGCATTTCCAAATTAGGACTCCACAACACATACCTATTTCCTAGAAATGATAGGTTTAAAATTGGATTGTTATGAAGTTACAATTTATTTGTAAACGTACTCTCGCCATGCAGTCTAATGCTCCTGACTGTTTTGGAGGGCATCTGGATATTCTTCAACGTATTATCAAGGTCCTGATTGTCTTCCAATATTGAAATAGCTGGAAAAAAATATATATGAGAGTTGAGCTTGTTAATAGCTAGAGTGCCTTGGAACCCTGGAAAATACCATTTAAAAAGGTCAGACACACAAGCAAAAGTTGTAGCATGCTGTTAAAGTGGTACCCATAGTAACATTATTTCATGATGCAATATTATGTAAATAATAATAATATATCATTTAAACTATATATTTAATAACAGGAAATTTCCTGCGTGCATAGACTTAAATACGCATATGAGAAAAGGTCCACTAATATTTTACTTGAGCCACTAGAAACCTTTTCCACATTTCATTTCAGAGCCTTTAACCAACACTTTTCTTCACTTGTATGGGCATAATTCAGCAATCTTAAAAATATATAAAGGAGTTATTTCATTTTAACTGCTTGTTTGTTTGAATGAATGCTAATTCCCAGTTTTGAGTTATGTAATGCATTTGCTTTAACTCAGTCTGAAAGACAGTTTCTACATCTCTATGACTGTTACTATGCACTCATGTTATTCACCGCAGCAAGTATTCATAAACTGCCTTCCCCAAGGGTTCATAAAGTTATCCAGAGATTTTTTGTGCCAACCCCAGCATTGTTCAAGAAAACAAAATATGCCAACAAGAAGACCCTTTTCACTAGGGTTGAAATGTTTACTTGGGAGTGCATCCGGTGTAATTCAGTGGGATTTCCTTCTAAGTATGCATATAGAAGACTGAGCTCAAATGTATTATCAACAGAAGGACAGGAAGTTCACGGAGGAGAAAGAGACACAGGAACAGTAACAGAAACAGGTCTTCTCCACTGCGCCCTCCCCACCTTGTGGAATGGCCGGCCTGAGGAGGTCAGGGAGGGCTCCCACTCTTCTGGCTTTCTGCAAACTATGCAAAACTGAATTATTCAAGAGGGCTTTTCTATGCAGGAACCAGGGTAGCACTGTACAAAAGGCTTCACAAAGTTACTTGGATAAAATTATTGGGGACTGTGGTGTCTGTATAGTTTGCTGTGGGTTGAATCCTATTGTGTTATTTTGCATCGTTTCATATCTGTTAACACTTATGCTTTGCTTCAGTTCTATTTTTTAGACTCCTGGTTGGTTCTATAGCCCAGATCCCATTTCATTGTTTATTGAATGTCCCATCTTGTTGACTGTAGACTCACTCTGTGTAGTCCACCTTAAGTCCAAGTGAGAAAGATGGGCTATAAATAATGTAAATAAATAAACAGAAACAAAAATCTGAATATCCTTTTCCCAATACTGTCCTCTTCATAACAGCAGCAGGAAGGTTTTTTTTCACAATCCTACAGCATTTATAATCTACATGGCCATTCAGAAATAGGAGTCCCATTGGCAACAGTCCCAGCTTGTCAGGTTTGCTTCACATGCTCTTCTCCCAGGTCTTTGCCTTCAGAATTTTGGTATCTTTGGAAATAACAGGTATGATGAACTCTGTCCTTTTTAGCATCATCGTTTCTCACATGTCCCACAAAAGTGGTGGTGCTACCACTACTCTGGTTTCCTTTCCCAGGACCATAAGAGAGTCCTTCCTCTGTGGTGTCCAGCCAATCTAACTAGAGACTCTAGAGTCTTTGTGGTGTAGTGGTTAGCGGGTCAGGTTAGGACTGGCGAGACCAAGGTTCAAATCTCCACTCATTTCATTGGGGGATTTTGTGACTATGAGTCTCTGTCCTCTCAGCGTAACCTACCTCACAGGGTTGATGTGAGGTTAACCAGGGGTGGGGAAAACTATGTTCCTGCAAGAACGGCAGGATAAAAATGTGATAAAGGCAGCCACTGCTTACTTTCCACTGAGCTATACTGATAAATCAGGTTTACAGATCAGATTCACATCTCTAACCATGCAATCCTATGCAGAGTTGCTCTAGTCTAACAGAAATCAGCAGACTTAGCCTGGAGTACATCTGCAAAGGATAGTGCTCTGAATTGTTCTACTAAGATAGCACATACAGACACATGGTGCACTTCTGAAAACAGGTTATTAATAAACCAAACCTACCCTTATCTGTACTGCTGTTCTGCAAGATGAAATAGGGCAGGCCGGGACCTGTTGTGTACAGAGTGTAACAAATACAGATGCTTTTAAAAACTAATTTTTAATAAAACAACTTGCATGATTTGAACATCACCATAAAATATAAGACATAGCAAACCTCAAGCATGCACAGACCTTTGAGATACAGGCCACAATTCAATGCAGTGTTTAAAGTGTATTTAAGGCAATTGGTTTTGCCTTAACTGTATTCAAATCAGTGCATTATAACCCTATTATTTAAAATAGCATTACTGTTACTTTCATAATTTTAATAATATTTGACATAATCTTCAAAATATCAAATACCCCGTGAGAAATATAAAGCACATTCTTCATGAGGGGATCTTGACGTGAACAAAAACTTACAACCTGGCAATACAGTCCAAATGAGAGTGTAACTCTGCTGACTTCAGTGGTATAATTTGGCTTGGTGGTGGAAAGTGCCTTCAAGTAGCAGTTGACTTATGACAAATCTGTAGGGTTTTCGAGGCAGGGGACATTCAAGGTTGGTTTGCCACTGCCTGCCTCTGTGTAACAACCCTGGACTTCCTTGGTGGTCTCCTACCCAAGTACTAACCAGGGCCAACCCTGCTTGGCTTTTGACATCAGGTTAGTTTGGGAAATCCAGGTCAGGGCAAATTTGGCTTAGAATTGCATTATAAGCCTGGGACCATTCAGGAGACCAAGAGGATGCATGCCCAAACCACAGAGCTCTCTTCAGGCTCATAAGGGAATCCAAGTGGGATCTCTGGTAGGTAACCAGTAGGAGATGTCTGGATTAGTCAGGCATGAAATACTGAATCATATTTCTATTAGCTTTGTTTGTACTCACCATGGCAATTCAGTTTATAATATCTTGCGTCTGTGCTGAAGGAGGCAGAATAATACTGACATCTTTCTTCGTATAGATTACAAGTGATGCATTTTGTCGAGCCAGTTCCAAAGTCCACTCTAGATTAAAAGAGAATAATTTGAAAGATGAAAGAAAAGTTTCAGAAAATTCAATCATATTTTTGTCAAGAGTCCAAACACAATTTAATGGAATTAATGTTCCTTCCTGTCAGAAAGGTTCCACTTCCTGAAATCATAATCACATTGGGGGTTTTGCTCTGCTGGACACGGCATTCCACACGGATTAACTGGGGCAGCATTCTATTACTCATTTAAGTTATAAATTCAGTTATAATCCCCAAACCCTTCTCAGCATGCTTAAGTGAAGTCATCTTCCATTTCCATTTTGCATACTGTTCTTTCACGTTTAGCTATGTGGTTTTCGGCTTAACATAGATGATTTACGAGGAACAGTTTGAATGTTAAAACTATCCTCCACTTCATTTGTAATTCCTTTTTGTGTTGCCATATGTACATCGGAAAAGTTATCCACATCACTCCTTCAACATGATAACTCATTACAGAACTCTAGTTCAACCTCCCTTTTATTTCGGATTTCACACACATCTTTGCATATATGGCTTTTTAAAGTCATATACCCATAGGGGCTCATTCTTGGACACAGCTGTCTAGTTTACCTATTGCACCCTCACAGATATATCTGTCCGGGATTACTCACTTCTCTCACATATAGAAAAACATGCAGCAACCATAGTAACAACAGTAACAATAAAACAACAATAATAACCATAAAGTGCCATCAAGTTGCAACCCGCATGGCAACAAGTCATGGGGTTCTCAAGGCAACAGATGAGCAGAGGTGGTTTTCCACTGCCTTTCTCTGCATAGCAACCCTGGTCTCCCATCCAACTACTAACCAAGGCCGACCCTGTTTAGCTATGACAACCATAAACATGTAATTTCCCAGTAAAAAAACACTATTAAGCATCTGCACATTTCCTGCCATGCAACACACATTGCCATCCATCCATCCAGGGGTCATTTGGGGGGGGACGCGGGGGGACGCCATCCCCCCGGGTGAGGTGTGGGAGGGCGGGGCCTGGAGCTCCCTGCTGGTGCCCGCTGGAGGTCGCCGCCGGCTGTGGGGAGGACACACTTCCAGTGATGTCAGGGGGTGTGGCATATGCTAATGAGTTATGCTAATGAGTCCCCCTAGCTCTTTTTCTACGAAATGACCCCTGCATCCATCTATCAGCAACCGGCCATATCCATCTGTACTAATGGGTCAGAACTTTCACCAGTGGCTATAACTACTGATTTTAAATGTTTATATTGTGCTTTTAAACTTATTGTATTGTTGAAAGATGATGTGACCCGCCCTGAGCCCTTTTTCAGGATGGGCGGGATACAATATCAATGCTCCATCTAAGCTGTGGAGTCTTGTGAGCAAAAATTCTGCTTTGTGAGCTACTGGCATTAAAGCTGTGAGCAAGCAGTTTGGCTACTGCATAAATAAGTTTGCTTTGGAGCCATCCTTCCTGAGCTAAGACAAAAATGTGTGGGCCAGAGGCTAAAAAAACTGTGAGCTAGCTCAAACTAACTCAGCTTAGAGGGAACACTGGATACAAATACGAAAAATAAATACGAAAATAAATAAATAAGAGGAATCCTGGGGAAAGAATGGAGCATGGAATAGCCTGATCTAATCAGAACTTGGAAGCTAAACAGGGTCAGTACTTGGAAGGGAGACCACCAAGAAAGACTCTGCAGAGGAAGGCTGTGGCAAACCATTTCTGCTTCTCATTTGGCTTGAAAGCCCCTTGTTGGGATCGCTATAAGTCATCTGTGACTTGATGGCACTTTACACATACACACAAGAGGAATCTTATTCAACTACCACAAAGGTAAACTGTATGGTCATGCCAAACCCAGTTCTCAGAGGCAGTCTGGTACCCGTCACATGTTTGCTGTGAAGGGCCATGGCTCAGTGGTAGAGAATCTGCTGTGTATGCAGTAAGTTCCATGTTCAATCCCCAGCCTCTCCAGTTAAAAGGACAGATGGCAGGTGAATTGAAAGATCTCAACTGGAGACCCAAGAGATATGTTGGCAGTGAGAACAGACAAGACTGACATTGACAGACCAATGGTCTGGCTCAGATAAGGCAGCTTCGTGCAGCTCCTAGGACTGCGCTTTGTTTTTCTCTGTAAAGCACATGGAGTAATAATTCAAAACATTACTGTGTACTTCAGAAGGCTTTTGTAAAAATCTTAAGGGAAAAGAATCATTTTGGTTTAGGGCTAAAACCCACTATTTTTAACTGGCCATATTTTCTCTCTTTTTATTATCATGAGGATACTGGGCAAAGCCCAAGCATGAATAAAAAGCATCTTACTTATAAAGATTTCTTCCACCTGGCTTGCCTTCAAACTGATTACTGATGAAATATCTGCAAAGTAAGCAAATAAATTATTCATACAACTTCATAGTTACCTTTCCAACACAGATCGTCCAAGGTGATCTACAAAATATATAGGATTGGATCCTACTGATTTTTGCTGATTTCCCCCCCTCCTGTGACTTCTAATTCTTCCTTCACTTTGTACCTGGGGGTCCCTGTCCCCTGTCTCCCAGAAGCAGTATTTTGGGGCACATCTGTGGTTGCAGCAAAAAGAGGGAGGCAGACAAGTCATGTCCCACCCATCAGTGGAGATGTTCAGATCGAGCCAAGCCAGAATGTCCAAATACACAATTTAAAAAATAAGAAAAAGGCTACAAAACAAGCTGGCACTAATATTATACCATTAACAATAACATAGCGACAGAAGCAAATGTAAATTTAAAAAGGCTTACAGTGCAAGCCTAAGGATATTTTCCTGGGAGTAAGTAGTAGGATTCTGAGTAGACCTCTTTAGGATTGCTTTCTTAGTATACCAGAAGATTATTATTCACCATGGTTAGGATAGTCCTACCATGGTTAGCGCTTAAAAGCAGAGGGAGGTGAAATCTGCATGGGAGAGGAGAGAGCCTGCTAGCCCGTGGGTCACCTGCAATCTCATAACTATGGTGAAGAGACGAAGTCATCACTGAGCTGACTTAAATCATTCAGTGATCCATGTTCTGAGTGCAATACTTATTGAGCATAGTTTAGGTTCAGTCTCTGGTCAGCTCAAAATCTGCAATCCTCTGTTTATAAACCACTTTTCAAAGATCTCAGCTCAAATCAAAGAACTCAAGTTAAGTAGCAATTAATTTTGTCAAACGGATATCAATCAGACTTAAATGTCATTAGTTTTAGTTGTACAGAGGCCAGAGGGGTTTTCTTTTGGGAAATGCACTGATTTGTCCTATCAAAGACACGGCAGCTGTCAGTTTCAATACCGGTCCCTGCTAGGCCAGATGGAAGAGACAGGATTAACAGGACTGGCGAAAGAATGGGGATTGCACAAAAGTCCCATACTCACTGGCAGCTGTCTCGTGCGTTACCTTTTCATCCATTCACAGTTTATCACTGTAGCATAAACCACTCATTTGGTCTTCTACAGTCACACAAATCATATGAGCAAATCCTTTTTCCTAGAGGGCTGCAGAAGATAAGGCAATCTTCTACAGTCACACAAATCATATGAGCATTTAGCAATTTTAAACCTAGAGGGCTGCAGAAGATAAGGCAGTTTCTGCTTCTCAGTGGCTGTGTTTCTACTCCTTCTCCCCTAAGCCGACTCCAGCTGGGAAATTCCTGAAGATTTGTGGGTGATGCCTGGGAAGGCAGATGAGCTCAGTAGGGATGTGATGCCATAGAGAGAAGAGGAAAAGGAAGTGGAAGATCTATACCCTACCCTTCACTCTGAGGCTGTGGTCACGCACACTAAATGATCCACTTTCAATGCACTTTCCAACTGGATTTTGCCAATTCATACACTAAAGTCCAGTTGGAAAGTGCACTGAAAGTGAATTGAAAGTGGATTATTTCGTGTGTGTGACCACAGCCTGAGTCTCGGAGCGGCTTTCAATCTCCTTCTCTTCCTCCTCCCACAACAGACACCCTTACAGTTGCCAGGTCTCCCCTGGCCACTGGCAGGGGACAGGGGGTAGGGTTGCCAGATCCAGGTTGGGAAACTCCTGGAGATTTGGGAGTGGTGCCTGTGGAGGGCAGGGACCTCAGTTGGGGTACAACACCATAGAGTCCACACTCCAAAACATCCATTTTCTCTGGGGGAACTGATGTCTGTAGTATGGAGATGATCTGTAATTCCAGGATATCCCCAGGTCCCACCTGGAGGCTGGCATCCCTAGACACCCTGTGAGGTAGGTGGGGTTGTCACTTCCTCTAGGGGAATCGATAGTGTCGCCTCCTCTAGGGAAACTGATCTCTGTAGCCTAGATATCAATTGTAATTCTGAGCGGTCCAGGCGCCATCTTGAGTTCAGCAACCCTAAGCCCAATGAACTGTGATCTAAAATTTAATTATTTAAGAAATACTCACAGAAAATCATTAGTTACAGCAGCTATGCTGATTACCTCCCATTTTCCGCTTGTAATACTTTTCTTTGTCTATAAAAACAAATAAGGGTAGATAGGTGACTATATAAATTCCATGACAGAAGAACAATCCTCCACCATGTTGTTAGATTACTGTGTGTTAGTCTGCCTGTAGCAACAGAAAAGAGCAAGAGTCCAGCAGCACCTTAAAGACTAACAAAATTTGTGGCAGAGTAGGAGGTTTTGTGAGTCGCTGCTCACATCTTTGGATACCATGTTGTATTCACATACTCGTTACTTACTCCTGTGCTGTTGATATAATGGATGTGCTTATAACCTTCTTCATCACTTAAAATTTTGTAAAAGCTGGTGTTGTCAAATGCAAAGTAAGGTTCAGAAGGCTGAAACTGTAAAAAAAAATCAAATATTTAGTTACATAGGTATGATGCCGACTGTAAACTTTAGCAACATCCTGAGTATTTAACTTATAGTTTTATAACCTTGTATCAAGGAAACGGGGATGTGGAATGGTATAGTATAGCCTGATCTCATCAGATCTCAGAAGCAATGCAAAGTCGGTACTTGGATGGGAGACCACCAAGGAAGACTCTGCAGAGGAAGGGAAGGGCAAACCACTTCTGCTTCTCATTTGCCTTGAAAGCCCTACAGGGTTACCATAAATCAGCTGCAACTTGACAGCACTTAACTCATACACGGCAAGAAAATGCTGCACCACTAGACTTCTGTGGAAAAATCTGGTATGATTCCTCATGAGGCATCACATACTTTTTAAAAGAATGAACAGAACACAAAACAGTGTTCATATATTCCACGTGGGGAAAGGCTCTTTATGTATGCAGGACTAAGTATTAAGCCAATTAGCAACCTTACCTGACATCCGCCATCTGACTTTTTGCTCTCAAATGCCTAGTGGCAGACTTTCAGTCACTTTGTAATGAGGCTAAACACAGTACATCTATCTGCTTATGAAAAGCTAGAGTGAATAGGCTGAACTGGAAAAGGGCTGAGCTTGTGACTGGATAGTCTTGCCTTGGCAAGTCATCGTTGAACTATATGGTCATTTGTTATCAACTGCTCAATTGTATGGCCTCTAGAATTACATATTTAAAGGTCCTGCTAGTTAATGCATTCTGCAACACATAAAATAAAATCTTTTTCTGCTGTGAAGATTCCTTAGCAATAATTCTGCTATATTGGATAGTTTCAACAGAAAAATCCCACTCATTTCTAATGCAAGGGCAAAAAAGACCACTACTCGTAAATCAAAGAAATATCTTCCTTCGTTACGAGTCCACAATACACCACTCTTATTATTTCCCCCTGTTTTCCTTTTTTACATAATTGTTCACAGCCTGCTCAGCACATTGCTTACTGTGACTTTCATGCTGTAGAAGCAAAATGTGTTAGCAGTAAAGGTCTTCCATTTCTCATCAAGTTTGACAGCAGGTGGGATTGTCTGCCATCTTTGTAAGAGAGATCTGTAGTCCCTGCTGTTTCACTCTTCACTTTGTTCCTTGAAAGTACTTTTAATTTTTTTTTTTTTAGGACACTGAAGGTGTGAAGAAGGTAGCACATTCAGCAGCTTCACTGTCTCACCCTCCCGTAGAGATTAACTGGGCACTTGGGACCACATCTTTGGCAGTTGCTTTCTCTCTTATTTGAACAACAGGATTGTCACAATGTTGTCACAAGTTTGTCTTCACTTGACTCTTATGAACAGGCTTGTCACTACAGCTTTGCCTACCATCACACCTGACAAAGTGACCAGGGACCTTCAGGAAAAGGGTTTAATGGCTCTAAGTGGGATGAGATAAGCCCCCATTTATGTAGCAGCAGGGTATGAAAACATGTTATTTTGCTTTGGATGGAGATACACACACACACATATATTTTAAACTGCAAAACTAAAAAACCAAAAGTTATATCAGCATATCTGTGGGATAGATATCAAGGTGTCAAAAATGTCCACACGTTTTTGCTCTTTAGAAGTATGCAAAGAACAGCAGTGCCATGGAAAGCCTACAGTGTCATATGTGAGAAATCCATTCAAATGTCCAGTCAGCCATAAAGCTGCCTGTCTTTCAGCAGGTCCCTCAAACTAACCTACTTTACAGAGTTGCTATGAGGAAAAAACAAGATATTCATATGTACTTTCCTTGGTTCCTTAAAGTAACACTGGAATGTGATAAATAAAATAAAGGCAAGTAGAATATCTACACGCCTGCTTCACAATTAATTATGTTCATAAGATCTGAGCCTTCTTCAAAAACAAAATGGCTGTAGAAAGGGAGAAAACTGGCCCAACAAAGGAACAATATCCAGCTCCCATCCTGGGCAAAGTAAGGGACAGAAAATGGTCATTAAATCTAAGATGTTCAGCATGGTAACAAACATGACGATACAAGAACATGATGGTGGGAGCACGCAATAATCTACCAAAATCTCACTCAAGCTAATTGACACAAAGCCATCTGAAGACTTTTTTCCTAGTTGATAGCCAGCTTTAAGTTCTGCCAAGAGCCAGGTTAGTAAAGAAAGATATTAGCATTCTCCTTCTCAGGAAATGCTTTTTACAAAAAATCATTGATATAAGCAAGTTCAGCTGACCCATACATTGACTCCCAATGAAGTCCATTGAAAGAAACCCATAACATGACCAGAAATATTCAGTTTGGGGGCCAGGCACAAAAGTGAGAGGGCTCTACATTCGTGGAGAAACCTTTTCTCTGTAAATCCCCGTATTGCAGAATCCCCCACCCCAACATAGTGGTCATGACTGTACATGTGGTGGTGGTAGGGATCAGCAGACTTTCACCTCTCACAAGAGTATGGCTCCATTTCAGCTGCTTTAGCAATCTCATTAGATGGCACAGAGTGTGCCCCTTGCCATAGCATAGGGACACTGAACAGTTTGCCACTGCTGCAATCCGAGATGGCCTAGGCCAAGCAATATAACTTGAGGCAGTTGTCTCACTATCGAGCGAGGCTGCTAAGAAAACAGAAATGGCATCCTAACCATCTCAAACTCTCCTGTGTGTGTTCAGGCACCATTGGGGTTGTTTTCACAATTTCACTGAATGGCAAGACCTCATGTTCTACTGTGAATACCCTCTCATAATTCCTGGAGAGTCAAAGGCAAAGGAAGGAACAAGTATCTACTTCTCCTTTCGTCTTTAACTGCTATTTGAGGTGCTTTGCAGTGGAGGAAGAGTCTTTTGGTCAATGTAACACAAGACTACAGAGCAACATGATGTTTAGTACTTACTCTGCCAATCCAACCAGTTGTACTCTCTTCTACATGCTCTTTTTCCTGGAAGAGGAAAACAAAAGATTGTCACTGTTATAACAGGTTTCTACCAATTAATTCCCAAGTTGAGGTCCCCTTTAATACTTACTCGTGGACACTGCCACATTCCATTCTCTCTAGAGTAGTCACAGATAGTAAGAACTGAAAAATTCTGTATCCTTTTTAGCCACTGTAGACAGATTCTCTCATCAGTCACCCAAGTTACAACACTGAGGTAGTGATCCCTAGAAATTAAAAAAAGAGGGTTACAATTTATACTCCACTGAACAGTCAACCTATCATAGCAACTGGAATGCCTGCTATATATTATTTGGTCTTCTGATAATGCTGACACCATATGTGCTTCACAGAGTAACAAGTTACAGATTTTTATTGGAGTCCTAGATGGTCACATATCGGTTGGAGAATTGGAAAATTGGAGAACAAGTTTTGGAGCAAGTAAATTAGTTTTCTTGTTTGGGTGTTTATTTCCAATCAAATCTGTCATGGAAGGTTCATGTTGAAAATGTACCAAAAAAGAGAGGCTTGGATATCCACTAAGGCTGTGGTTTGATTCCTTTTTAGCAAGGGTGGGCAATATTTTCTTGCAGCACCTGTGGTATTCAACTCTAAAGAAGTAATGCAGATCCTATACAGTATGGATACAAGCCTGTCAAGAATCACTAGATTGTATCTTAATAAAATTTCTATTTAAAATTGATGGGATTTCAGGCTGTGTAGCAGGAATTACGCTCTGGTTAGAACTGGGAGTTCACTCTTTGGAAGCGTTAAGACTGGGCTTCTGCATTTCACATGTGGTTGAAGGTGGCCTTTGTCTTTGATAAGACTGGTTATCTTTCCTTGCTGAGGGAGGGTTCTTATGTGAGTCCTTGGATATGATTGAATATAAGCTCCCTTTCTGGGGACTTCAGATTGAGGACCTGAAGTCATCAGGGACAGAAGCTGCTCAAATGTTGATTTTGAGCCACTTGTATGAACTGGATTTTGATAGAGCATGAAGAGTCTATACCCCTCTTTATCTAGGTTTGTCATATCCTTGGGCCTTTCCTGAATGTTTAAAATATTTAAACATCCCATAATACAGAAGAGCATTTATGTCAACTAGATTAATCGTGATACCTTCTCAGGTAATAACTGGTCTCTATAAGAAGTTTCCTTTCTTGAATAGATTACGTTTGTATCAACTGGGGTGAATCAATATATTGGAGCATTGTCTTTTGGAATGTGTGTTTTATTTGGATACAAAAGAATTATTGATCTTGCTGCTTCTTCAGAGGGGTGGTAAATATACCTACTGGGGAGAAGCTGAGAATGCTCCTAGCAAATATTGAACACAAGGCCACTTTGGGTCATTAGAATTGTTTTTAACTTTATTAGTATGATACTGCTCAAGGCCATTTGGTCAAATGAGTAGTTTCATTTAATATAAGGGCTGCTTTGCCTTGCCTCCCAGACTGCAGCATGAGGTGGGGGGGGGTCTTCCTTTTCAGAGCAACCCATCTCCACAGACCTCAATTCTTGACTTGTTATCAGATGTTTACACAGCAGCATGCTCAAAATGCTATGCTTTCCTTCTTCCATGTTTAAATGTAGCGATGTTGTCTGGAATGTATTTAATTTTAAACAAGGATTCCTGCATTCCGCTCCACATGAGAAACAAACAATTAGGAACACGTACAAGCTTGGTGGGGGGAAATCATGCCTATCCAGGCTTATCAGTATCAGCTTGATAATGATACCTGAATGCAGTCACAGAGAATTTTAAATTCAATAGACTGAAATTCAAATTATAGGGAATCGGTACTGGAAATCTTTTGAGACAAAATCATGTCATCATCATAAGAAATATATTGGTTCACAGAGTGCTTGTAACTTTCTGTAATGCAAGTATGGAGTGTAATTCCAGCTTTACACATTTTGAAAGGAGTTTGAGGCACTCATGAAATTGAGTTATACTGAATCAGACAATTGGTCCATCAAGGTAAGTATGGCAAACTCCAACTGCAGTAAGTCTCCAGGGTCTTACACATCACCTGCTACCTGATCCTTAACTGAAGATGCCAGGGATTGAATGTGGAACTTTCTGCATGCAAAGTTAATACCCTGCCACCCTAACATATCAATAAACTAACCTCTATCAGGAAAAAAAGTATTTATTCAGAAAGGCATCCTTTTTTAGAACTAGGTCCTATCTTCCCAAGAAAAGTTACACAATTCTTCAATAAATTACCTGCAGCATTCTCAGAACAAAAATATTTGTACTTACCCTGAAAGTATGTTAGACGGTGCAGAAATTTCAATGGAACTGATGTTGGAAAGAGATTCAGTATTCACTACAAATAGTCTTATAGTTGGATTTATAGCACCTGCCTAGAGAAAAATCAAATGATTTCATAGCATGGTGAAGGCTATGCAGAACTGCGAATCTCATTAAAGCACAACAACTTTCAAAATAAGAGTTGTTCAAAACTGAAAGCAAAACGTAAGACTGAAAAATAATTTTTCATTAATAGAAGACTTAATTGGGGGAAAAGCATGCAGGCCTTGAGGTAACAGTTGTATAAAGAATCAGCACTGCACATTTAGTTTTGTTCATAAACAAATACAGCAATTTCTATGGGAGAAGACAATCCATTCGAGCACTTGTGTCAAGCAATGGAGATCTGCAGAAAAATAATTTCTGGGAATGGCTTCCAAAAGAGGAAAAAACCATTTGAAACTGCAGTACTTCTTTCAACACAGTAATTTGGTCAATGGAAAGAGCCAGTGCAGAAAAGAAATGCCAGGCAGCTGTAACGAGGGGAAAGCCAAGGGACAGCTCTGTTGCATTGCTCTTCTGTCCTTTCTTCCTCCCTTTGGTGGGAGAAGGAGAATATGCCCATGTGAATGAAGAAGTTCTGCTTACCACAAAGCTACATTTTTTTCTGAACATTACTGGTAAAGGGGGGGGCATATGTATGGGCACTTCCTTCACATCTTCACACCACACAGATAACCCAGTGATTATGTGAAGACAGGGGGTAGGGCCAGTCCATTCACTGCCACTCTCCCTCCCTGCGCAATGATTCAATGCATGAATGGGTCACCTGCACAAGGCTCTTGAGTCTTAGGGAGAAAGGTGGACTACCAACAAAGTAAGTAAATAAATACAATTATAGCAAGCAAATCAGGGCTCCTTTGTACATTACATTTTTGTTCATAAAGATAACATGTATATAATAAAATGTTCATGCAGTGTAACACCTGAAAAGCAGTGCTAATACAAGGTAGTAAAACAGTCCTTTTCACTTCATAGTGTTACAGTTCAAAGTGTTACAGCATACTTACATTTTCTAAAAACCTTTCAAGCTTTTAAGATTTAATCTGTACAGATACAGGCACACAAAGCAACAGAAAAGCAGAGAATCCAGGATAAGAGCCTTGTAAGAGTAGGTACATGTTCTAGAACAGATGGTCACTTGTGCTGACATGCTCAAAGAATGCAAACTACAGATCCAAATTAATTAAAATAATATCCTGGGGCGATTACTTCAGTACTATTGCAACTTTGTTCTACGCGGCACATCTCATAAAATACTCCATTGGCTCTTCTTGTTTGCAAGAGCTGAGCCTGGCTCCTCCTCGTCTCGAAAAAGCCCATGTTAAAAAGCTAAACCTACGGTTCACAAATAACTCACAGTGCAGAAACAAACAAAAAGAAAACAATCAAAGTGGGCATATTCAAAACAGCCAATTCTGCTGAATCGTCCAAGGCCAAGGAAGATCTTTCAGTTACATTGAGTATTTTCATCTTTACCATTCTGAATAATTAGCAGGGCAATACGGCATAAATCCAGGTTCACCCACCAGAAAAACCTTACTATGGGTTAGATTCGAGTCCAGTAGCACCTTAGAGATCAACAAGAGTGTCGGGGTATAAAGTCTGGAGAGTCAACGCTCCCAAGGGAGCTTTGACTCTTGAAACCTTATACCTTGATAAGTCTTGTTGGTCTCTAAGGTTCTACAGGACATGAATCTAATTGTTTGGTGTAGTGGTTAGGAGCACGGACTCTAATCTGGGAGAACCGGGTTTGATTCCCCACTTCTCCACATGCAGCTGCTGGTGTGACCTTGGGTCAGCCACAAGTTTTCTCAGAGTCATTCTCTTACAAGCAGTTCTCAAAAGAACTCTCTCAGCCCACCTACCTCACAGGGTGTCTGTTGTGGGGAGGGGAACAGAAAGGAGATTGTAAGCCACTCTGAGAATCCTTCGGGTAGTGAAGGGCAGGGTATAAATCCAATCTCTTCTCTTCTTCTATTGAAAAAGCAACATGGCTATCCTCTGAAACATACTAAGGGCTAAATACAAAATTCCTGCTAATAGAAGGTGTGGGGTAACTTCCTCCAATTTCCCCTTCTTGCGGCAGACCATGGATTTGCCTCTCTTGTTATCCCTGAGTATTTCGTGGAGATCAGTGGACTGTGGGAGAGAAGGGGGCGAGGCAGGAACATTATCTTCCACTGACAGAAGGGCTTTGCAATGAGCAGTAAATTTAGTACGAATCCAACCCTATATCTATGACACTTAACTAAGAGTAAGTTGTACTGAACTCAAAGGGATTTACTTCCAAGCAGACCAGGTTAGGGTTGGTCCCCTAGTCTGTTTAAAATTACAAACTCTTCTGCTTTGAAAACAGGATATTGAAAAGTGGTGTGTGTGGGCGGTGGCTCAAGTGGTTAAGACACTGAACTGCAGACCGGAAGGTCGGTAGTTCAGCAGTTTGAGACCCGAGTGCCGCAAGACAGAGTGAGCCCCTGTCTCTGGTCCCAGCTCCTGCCAACCTAGTAATTCGAAAGCAAGAAATTGCAAGTAGATAAATAGGTACTGCTTCAGTGGGAAGGTAACAGCATTCCATGCACCTTGGCATCTAGTCATGCTGACCACATGACCACGGAAATGTCTCTGGACAGCGCTGGCTCTTCGGCTTGGAAACAGAGATGAGCACCGCATCCCTAGAGTTGGATTCGACTGGCTTTCGAGCAAGGGAAACCTTTACCGTTACCTTTTATAGATATAAAAAAGGTAACGGTAAAGGTTTCCCTTACTCGAAAGCCAGTCGAATCCAACTCTAGGGATATATATATTTCTTCAGTGCATCAATGCATACTGCCTGATATTTCCCAATAAAAGAAGTAACAACTAATCCAGTGCTGGGCAACCTTTTGTTCCCACATGCTGAAAAATAATACAGCATCTACCTTTGAAGACGTGGATGTGCTGGCAAAGTAAATGCCAAGGGGGTGCAAGAGCTGAGCTTAGCCAGAAACACTGGGAGGATGTCCAGATCCAGTGGTGTTGCCAGAGCCTCAGAGGTTCACCTCAGACCCAGCTGGAAGCTGTATGGATTCAGGAGACAAATGCAAGCATAAGCCATGTCTATCGCCTTCTCCACATTGCTGGCCACCAGCTTCTCCGGTGCTGTTCTTGGATGGCTGGGCTGAGAACTGGCTCTGCGTGCTGGGAAAGATTATTTGGCTCACTGCTGTTCAGCAGCCATTTTGGAGACTGCCTACCTATCTCTGACCTCATATCTCTCTCTTTCTCTCTCAACAGTTTTCAAATTCTAGCAATAAAATAAACACAGTTAGACACCTCTTCACTCTTCAATAAGAATGGTGGATATCCTAGAACCTCTATAGGGGAGAAAAACTTTCCTTCTTTCCAATGATCAAACGGATGCATTTCTCTAAATTGACGAACCCCAAGCCAATGAAGAGCTAAGTTTGAGTTCAATAGCACCTTAGACACCAACAAGACTTCCAGGATACAATTTTCCCTTTGCCAATCAAGCTTTGCCTTTGCAAGGTAATCCCCCCCACCCTCCATTTCTTCCCTAGCTGCAAACCATTTCAGACAAAACCTTTGAGGGAAAGATTCCAAAGCCTTAAATGGCACTTATTTTCTGTTTCCCTAGAGATAATAGAATACTTGAATGTTGCCAGATGCTATTGACTTAAGTCACAATAATCACAGCAAGCTGTTGAGGAGAGACAGACAATATTTTCGTTAGCAGCAACTGATTTAAATGTGACTATTCTCTAAACCAAACTGCTCAGCAACTATGTTTAATAAATAACACAGACCTTAGGATATGGTATTCTTATGGTCTTTGGGTACTGCAGCGTGTCTTCTGCATAAAACGAATACTCAATCACAGGGACGTCAGTATCGTTAATCTCTGCATATGCTAAAAAGCTGCCATTTGGAGACCACCACAGAGCAGCATGGGTGCCAAACATTTCCTCTGAAAGAGATGCAAATGTGTTCTTTTGAAGCAATAGTTGCTACGTTGGCGTCTGCATCTGAAACATTGTTCTTAATAATTTATACGAAATTTTAGATGAAAGTTCAGCTACTACCATTTGGATTACTTGTCCTGTTTTAGGGAGTAAATCAGTCAACGTGAAATCTCCCAGGACTGCCTTTCTATGGCAATGCTGTACTTCAAAAAGCTGGCTTTGATTACAACCACAAATTCTAGTTCTCTGATGTGTCAAGCATTCATCTCCAACAATTCAAGCAGTCATATAGGAACTATAACAATTAATTGTTGCTTTGTCCAAATGCATCCCTTCCTAATAAGACAAAGTCTAATGGGAAGAAGAAACCTGTACTTGAGCCAAATATACTGGCTTGGGTCCATATGACGTTGCTCCCCTTGTGCTTCTCTCTGGCCACTGAAGAGGCTTGCCTTCACTGCAGCACTTGCTAACTCTGCAGCTAGCACTTCGGCATGTGTAAAGACTCCTCGAAAACCACGGAAATGCTAGCAGCATAGGAAGTGAGCGCCGCAGTGGGGGAAAAGCTTCCGCAGCAGCCAGAGGTGTCTTCCACACAGGGACAGGATTTTATGGCTTCAGATAAGCACAGCAGCAACAAGGCTCCCACATGGCAGGTTTCCCTCCAGTTTCCCTGCCCCGATCCCCTGGAAATGGCCATTCCCCTTCCCCGGGGTCACTAAAGCTTTTACAATTTTTTAAAATTGTACTGAGCTCAATGCTTTTGGGAAGTGGAGTTGTTTTTCCCCCGTTTCCCCACAGCATCATGTTGCATACACGCACCTCTAGGGGTTTCATCTTGCAAGACCGAAGCCACTCTCTTTCCAAAAGCCCAAAGATTTATATTATATTAGACTTATTCACTGAATCCCAAGATCCACAGCAGCAGCAACCAGAGTCAAGGAGCAAAAGGGTGGCGGATGATGGGTAGTGAACCCTTCTCTCCCAATCCCAGTCCGATGCTTACTTCCCTGCAACTCCTTTTGCCCAAAACTTATCTCTCAGCCACCTTCCAGTATCACAGCCCTGCTGAGAAGATTAATATTAAAGGGCAGGCTGTTGGTAGGTAAGCTGTAGGTAGGAGAGAATTTACCATTTCCTGCCAATTCGCAGCCCCTGCACTGCTTTTTAGATCAGTCTTCCCACCCTTCACTCTATGTGGGATTGAGGAAAACCCAATTTAAACACTTGAGTATGGTGTCATATTTAGTTTTGTTTTGAGATATTTAGATTTGTGCTGAAGAATTATACCCAGCACTGGAGATAAAAATTTGCCAGTAGAGACAAATGGCCCCACTAGATTTCCATGGAACACTTTATGCCCTCCAAATGAACACGCCCAAATAAGAACATTATTTGTACAACCACAGTTTACACAGATGATCACAAAGATGATCATCATCTGAAGTGGTTTCTTCTTTTCTTCTTGTATTTTCACAACCTGAACATTCTGAGTACCTCTCAAAACCTTGTACATGAGAAGTTTCTCAATATCTCAATGTTAAAAGACAAGATCTGTATTTAGCCCACATTTTCAATCATGCATGGATCACTTCCCTTTTTACAGAAGCAAGGAATTCCTATATGCATGGAACCTGGGCCTGGTTCACAACACAGACCTGAAATGCTGTGAAGCACAGACCTCAAATGCTGGGACATGCAGTTCCACTTCAGTCCATAGGTGGAGGCCATGGAAGATCTAGATTTGGGATTCTTGCATATGTTAAAAACTCCTTGCAAACAGAAATCTGGCACAGCAAGCAAAGAGATCCTTCCCTCTTGCACTAGTTTGGAGGGTTTTTATGCAAAGGAACATTCCAAACTGGAATATGCCTCCTTGCGGTCTCAAGCAGTGCATCCATTCTACCCACATTAGCATTCTACCAACATAGTACCACTTCATTTTCCTGTCTGTGCGACCCAGGCCACTGTGAATATGTCAGAGCCACTGGATTTCAGTTATCATGTGGAAGTAAATCATATTGCCCATAAGATTACAGAGAATTTCTAGGTTCTATATTAAGTGGAAATAGGGTTAATTGCTCTGGCCTGGGTGGACCAAGGCTAGCCTGATCTCACCAGATCTTGGAAGTGAAACAGGATCAGTCTTGGTTGGTACCTGCATGAGATACCATAAATGGGCTGTGATTTGACAGCACTTTGAGCACACACAATATGGTTAATTACTGTTTGACCAAGTACCTTCATAAACCCAGTCTGCTAATCCATTAAAAATTGTGTTTTCTTTCCCATTCATGGTTATCCGTACACTGGGTGTAGCTGGTGTTTCTTTGACATAAAGATCGTTGTTCAAAACATAGGCCTGCCATTAAAAAAATCAAATAATAACCATCAGATCATGACACCTGTACAACTCTTTACATTGTATTAACCAAAATTCTGAACACAAACCACAGACTGGGATGGATCTAGAATGAAGTGGCAACTTCCACTGATATCCCCCTTCCAGCTGCAGACCCCCTTCATATCAGTCCCCTATCCCCTGGAAGCAACATTTTGTGGTAAGCTGCAGTGGGAGGGGGAAGCAGTTCTGCCATTGGAAAATTTACAATGCAATCCTAAGCAGATCTACTCGGAATCCTAAGAACATAAGAGAAGCCAATGCTGGATCAGGCCAATGGCCCATTTAGTCCAAACTCTGTCACACAGTGGCCAAAAATACCAGGTGCCATCAGGTGGTCCATCAGTGCGGCCAGGACACTAGAAGCCCTCCCAGTTATCCCCCCCCCAAGCACCAAGAATACAGAGATATGTCAGAGCCACTGGATTTCAGTTATCATGTGGAAGTAAATCATATTGCCCATAAGATTACAGAGAATTTCTAGGTTCTATATTAAGTGGAAATAGGGTTAATTGCTCTGGCCTGGGTGGACCAAGGCTAGCCTGATCTCACCAGATCTTGGAAGTGAAACAGGATCAGTCTTGGTTGGTACCTGCATGAGATACCATAAATGGGCTGTGATTTGACAGCACTTTGAGCACACACAATATGGTTAATTACTGTTTGACCAAGTACCTTCATAAACCCAGTCTGCTAATCCATTAAAAATTGTGTTTTCTTTCCCATTCATGGTTATCCGTACACTGGGTGTAGCTGGTGTTTCTTTGACATAAAGATCGTTGTTCAAAACATAGGCCTGCCATTAAAAAAAATCAAATAATAACCATCAGATCATGACACCTGTACAACTCTTTACATTGTATTAACCAAAATTCTGAACACAAACCACAGACTGGGATGGATCTAGAATGAAGTGGCAACTTCCACTGATATCCCCCTTCCAGCTGCAGACCCCCTTCATATCAGTCCCCTATCCCCTGGAAGCAACATTTTGTGGTGAGCTGCAGTGGGAGGGGGAAGCAGTTCTGCCATTGGAAAATTTACAATGCAATCCTAAGCAGATCTACTCGGAATCCTAAGAACATAAGAGAAGCCAATGCTGGATCAGGCCAATGGCCCATTTAGTCCAAACTCTGTCACACAGTGGCCAAAAATACCAGGTGCCATCAGGTGGTCCATCAGTGCGGCCAGGACACTAGAAGCCCTCCCAGTTATCCCCCCCCCAAGCACCAAGAATACAGAGCATCCCTTGCCCCAGCCTGAGAGTTCCTATCTATACCTTGTGGCTAATAGCCACTGATGGACTTCTGCTCCATATGCTTACCTAATTCCCTCTTGAAGCTTTCCATGCCTGAAGCCGCTGCCACCTCCTGTGGCAGTGAATTCCATGTGTTAATCACTCTTTGGGTGAAGAAGTACTTCCTTTTATCTGTTCTAACCTGACTGCTCAGCAATTTAATTGAGTGCCCACAAGTTCTTGTATTGTGAGAAAGGGAGAAAGTACTTCTTTCTCTACCTGCTCTATCTCATGCATAATCTTGTAGACCTCGATCATGTCACCCCTCACCCACCATTTCTCCAAGTTAAAGAGCCTCAAGCGCTTTAACCTTTCTTCATAGGGAAATTGTTCCAATCCTTTTATCATTCGAGTTGCCCTTTTCTGCACTTTTTCCAATCCTGTAATATCCTTTTTGAGGTGTGGGGACCAGAACTGTACACAGTACTCCAAAAGAGGACGCACCATTGATTTATACAGGGGCATTATGATACTGGCTGATTTGTTTTCAATCCCCTTCCTAATAATCCCCAGCATACCGTTGGCCTTTTTTATTGCAGTTGCACGCTGTTTCGACATTTTCATTGAGTTATCTACTACGACTCCAAGATCTCTCGCTTGGTCAGTCTCTACCAGTTCGGACCCCATCAATATGTATTTATATTTAGGATTTTTGGCTCCAATGTGCATCACTTTGCACTTGGCCACATTGAACCCCATTTGCCACTTTGACGCCCACTCGCCCATCCTTGACAGATCCCTTTGGAGTGCCTCACAATCCTCCCTGGTTCTCACAACCCTGAACAACTTTGTGTCATCTGCACATGTAGCCACCTCACCGCTTACTCCCAATTCCAAATAATCAATAAACTTGTCTTTTAAAACCATAACAGGGCCATGAAACCTGTTGTAACACCCAACCTAACCACAAACTCAGATTGCAAAACAATAGATAGAAATAATACTTAAGACAGCCATCCTAAGCAGGTCTATGCAGAATCTTATTCAGGTCTACTCAATGGGACTTACTCCCAGGGAAGTGCTCTTACAATTACACTGTTAGTCTGGATCCCACATATTTTTTGTGTACTGGCCACTACATACAAGTTTCTCCCCCTGCCCACTGAACGGTATAATTGACACCATCAGCTCTGTTTGGAGACGAAAAAGACAAGGGTGTTTGAATCCAGGACCTCCTTTCCAAACAGATGGGTAATGTTGTTGGAGTTGATGATTGCTTAAGTGGAAGGAGTCCAGCAGGTACTGAGTACAGGACTTTTACTACCCAACAGAATAAGTGGTGTCTGGTGTGTGGTCAGAAACCCTTTTTTCCAGAAACCTTTTTTCCTAAATGGCATTTGAAAGAATAAGGGGGGGATGTGCAAAAGTGCCTCAGCCTGCCACACTGTGGGCCTAATCAGGATCAAACCGTCACAGCACTGTTAAATCCTTTTAAAGGGTAAGTGGCATCCATTGGTCAGATCCATGGATGCTGTCATATCTAGTATGGCCCTCAGTTTCTGGCCTTCAAGAGAGAAGGCCACTGCAAGAGAAGTAAAAATCTAACTCTTTCTCTTTGGGCTCTTTTCCCACCAAAAATGGCCACTCCTGTCTGCTTTTACACATAGCTGAGGAAGACCTATGCAACCAAAGAGAAAAATAGTTGTAGGTAGTGATTTGCAGCAGGAAAACAGCACAAGGTTGATGAAGTGAAAGCTCCTTTCCACATTGATCTTTTCCCATTTAAATCACAGCTGTTGTGGCTGTGGCAAAAGAATCACAGACATACAATGCAATGTGCCACTCCACCTATTCTCAGCCTATAGTACACCTACACTACAAATGGTGAAAATTATCATGGAGGTTCCCTCATAATATTTATCTGTACCTTAAAATTATTTTAACATGTACAGTGACCTCAAACACCTTTAAAAAACATCTTACTACAAACATATACAATCCCCTAAGAGAAATCAAGAGCCATATAAAATCAATGGGCCTTTTGACATTGACCTGAGTAGCATGTGAATTGGGGTCCATATCATTCACTCACCAGTTTGTGACCAACAGGTGACCAGGATATGAACTGGATATCCTTAGGAAGTGAGTCATTTATTGTAGCACTAGGGAGGAAAGAAAACAGGAATTTAAAAAGTCAGTATAATATCATTTATATGGTCATTATACTGTTTTTGATAAGACAGCAATGCTACTAACCTAGTTCCCAAATCATAGACGACATATGATGCATTGTATGAATGACGCCACACCTGCAAGAGAAAAGTTTTTAACAGAAAGAATCCTTTCACCAAGACAAGCCAAAGGCAGTGGCAATTGGTCATAGGCTAGACCAGAAATAGCCATTATCTGTTTTCTTGGATTTCTGCTGTTTTTAAAACAGTGATCCAAGAGGCTGAAAGTATATTTTGTCAATGCAACACAACCTTTTTCATACTGTGGCCACTGCAATTCTCTCCAATGAGACCTTTCTAGTAATGGAGTGTATAAACTTAGATAGGGCCAGAAAATTACATACAAAATTTAGAGATGCTAGGCTTTTATTGTTAGAAGTGATAAATCTGCTATACACCTCCTAAAAACTGCAAAAAAGGGCAAAAAGACCACCAGTATGTGTGTATGGGGGTGGTGGTGGCAGGTGTGATGGGAAAGAATGGAGAATATCCCCATATGAAGGCTTCACTGCTGCTCCAAATGCCTCTGCATTCACAATGGCAATGAAAGTAACCTAGCATCCCGGTCACACGGGGGAAATTGGCACGGCCAAAGTGCAGCTTTTTAGAGCCGCACCAAAAGATACGCACAACGGCAGGATCAGACAGAGCCCCTACTCGGATGCCGGGGGGGGAGGCCATGGAAGGGAGAGCGAGGCAGCCGTCTGTGCATGTGTGCGCATGCGCAGTTCGGCTGGGAGCCTCGAATGCTGCTGAAGACGGGCGCGCCGGCGATCCCACGGCCACATTTGCTGTGGTGTTTCAAGTTGGTAGTACTCTTTCCTAGGTTTTTTTTAATGCGCGTTTTCGGGCTGAAGGGACGGACTGGGGATGGGTGCGCGCCACTTCCCAGATGTTGCGGTGTGATCGCGCCCGTTTGCTACACCCCCGATCCGTCCCTCTTGTGGGGCAAAACCTCCCATGTGACTGGGGCCAAGATATGCGATAGCTTGCTCTCCTTGCATTGAAGCCACAGATTTATTTTCTTAATGAGTAAAACTGTCACCAAAGGGGTTTTTTACTACCTATTGATCAAAATCTGGTAGGGCCACTGGAGGCCAGATAGAAGTCTGCTGTTAGCCTTATTAGCTGCTAGTCTATATGGTTAAATGCCTTCATTTTTATCTTGTGTGTGTGTGTGTGGGGGGGGTTGTCTTATCTTTTGCATGCTACCTTGATGGCTGCATGCTGAAAGGTCAGCAACACTAATTCCCTAAGTGAAATATATGAATCAAATCAACGTTTCCACCTAAACTTTTTGGCTTTCTTAACTAGGATTAAGTCATTCTTACACAAAAGGACAAACAGGCTCCAAGGGGCCAAATGGGTAGGAGATGACTGTCAGAAAGCAAAGAAGGAATATCTTCAAGGAGTGAAACTTGACCCTTGGAATTTGCGTTCTCTCCTCCCTTTACACCCCATGGCCACCCTATTTCTATGTTATAAGTAAGTCCTTTTCCTGCCGCTGGGCTTTGGCAGAAGTCTTCCCTTATTTATTTATTTCATGCTACTCAGCTGTCTGCTTGTCAAGCACTGGCTAAGCATATTCACTGATTATTTTCAGACCTGTTACTTCTGGGCCAAGTTCATTCTTCCCCTATCCCAAATGTCTCTTTCAAGCCAGTATTCTGCATTTCCTGACCACATTCTTCCCCAGAACGAAGCAAGAGCTTCTACTGCTTATACTTGGAAAAGAACATGAAAAGGCAGATGGAAAGTGAAACCTATACCATTTTACCCTTTCCCATGCATTTAATTTAACTAAGCTCTATACAACGCTGCTAGGTTACTGAATATTTAGCCTACATTATATTTTCCCATAAATATTTTATGACAAAATTGCACCACTGCTCTTAAGTCACAAAAACTGTAGCAGCACTAGATTTCCAAACTACACAACAAATTACTTGAAGAATGTACAAGTGGGGAACCCACAAGGGCTTGTGGGGAGGGGAATCTCGTTTTGTTGTTACCTAGCAACTCCCACCATAGACATTCATTTCTTAAAGATACAAGTACAGCTTCTATTAGTTTTAAGGTTAACCCCTTATCATCATCATCTTTAGATTTTTCAAGATGTATCTTGTCTGTTCATGGCTCCAGTCTCTGGACTTGCGTATCCACAGATGGCCCACACTGAGAATTAGATATATTGATATCAGCAAAGCACAATATTCAGCATTTTGTTTTGTCTGCTTGCACATTCTGCTGGAAGGTTAACTTTCCTCCCTCCAAATGCACCTATCTACATGCTCTGCAGCTTTACAACCATGCATACATGACTCAAATGGTTTCTGCTTTGGTTCTTACTATTAGTGATTCATTACTCCTGCAGGTAGTGATTCAATGGGTATTTTCCAGCTCAGATCAATCTTGAGCAGAGTTAGAAGGGTGTAATTGCATTGTTTAGTCACTAAAAGCTACACACATAAAACTTTCCTGCAGGCAGTGATTCAATGGGGAGACTGTGACAGACAGGAGGCTGTCCCGCCCCGGAAGGGTAAAACAGCCACTCACTTGTGCCTACGGGATTGCTGCTCCAGCATCCAATCCCCTTTGAGAAAGGAGGTGGAATGTTGGAGGGAAACACAGAAGAAATTCCATTCAGTTTTGCCTCAGGGAGAGAGCAGTGAGTGCTCAGGTCTGGCCCAGGAAAAGAGCAGACAGACCAAAGGGTAGCTCTGCTTGGTAATGTGGCAAAGTGGTTTGGCTTTACTTCTGGCAGAAAACAGAGTACCCAATTGGCAATGAGCAGACCTCATGCCATTTAGTCTGACTCTTGGGAAAGAAGGGCAGGCTGGTGTGAGTGGAATCCTGAGTGTGTGTTGGGATCCAACCTAGTGGCTAGACTGTAGAAGCCTGTTTATGCTTGTATTATGGTATTAAAGAAAATTGAAACTACTCTCTAAAGTAATGTGCCTCAGCTAGATTTTGTCTATCTGGAGTCCTGTGCTGCTGATCTATTCCTGGAAACCAATCTGTAAATCTTCATGTTGAGAAGGAAGAGGAGGAGGAGAAGATTGGATTTATACCCCCACCCTTCACTTGGGAGCCTCAGAGTGGCTTGCAATCTCCTTTCCCTTTCCCTCCCCACAACGGACATCCTGTGAGGTAGGCAGGGCTGAGAGAGCGCTTCTGAAGACTGCTCTTTAGAGAAAAGCTCTGAGAGAACTTGTGATTGACCCAAGGTCACACCAGCAGCTGCATGTGAAGTAGCAGGGAATCAAACCCAGTTCTCCCAGATTAGAGTCCATGCTCTTAACCATTACACTAAACTGGCTTTCTTTAATATACAGTTCCTGCCTCAGTGACCTCCAAACTCTACTTGTGCACCACAAAACTTACCTCACAGCAGCGAACCCAAAGCCTATACACTCGTTGCCTTTAGAACACCTGGTAATTGAGGGGAAGGTTTGTAGTTTAAAATAAACCTGGATTCCCCCCCCCAATCATAGGAGGCTGTGGGGGTCCCCTCAGTTAATAGAAATGGCCTGTTACAGAGACCTAGCCCCATGACCATTACTGTCCGTTCCCCCCTGCACATTCAGCTCAGTCTCCAGTTACAGTCTGCCTCCTGGAATGTCCTGCCTCAGACAGCTTTTCTACCCAGGAGTCCACCTCACTTAGAACATGCTGCACTAGAAAGGTTCACCCCGTCTCTGGGAGCATCTCACACAGGCATTGGTACCATATTGAACAGAAAGAGTTGGAAACTTGCTTCATTGGACCCCTTCATGATATGCTGTTTAATAAAGTCTGGCTTTATTAAACAGCTCTGTCCCTGTCTGTGAGTGGATGGGACTAGTGTCACACCCCTTGCTGCCCCACATCCTCCCCACATCTGTGTGAGCCTCAGTGGAAAAGCTATTTTGCAATCACAGTACAACCACAGAAAAGACCTTATCTCAAATCACACACCCCCAGAGTTCTGCCAACAGGGACAAGAAGGACAACTGTAAGTGACCTGGGCAAATGGAAAGGTCGATATGGGAGCAGATGGTCCTTCACAGATACCCTGGTCAAAAAGCATTAAAACTTTCAGGTCAAAACCGTAATCTTGAATTAGATCAAAAAGATACTGGAACCCAGAAAAGATCTTTGAATTTAAATGTAATATGCATACTGCAGGGTGTGTCCATCAATATGGTAGCTGCAGCCCTTCGGAACAGGTGAAGTCGTTTTTTAAAAGAAAAATGCCAAATCTTAATTAACAAGTTTTGATATTTTATATTTTTTTATGTTTTATTTTATAAACTGCACCAGGGAGGTTCCCTGGAGAGGTAGCATATTTTTTTCTATATAAATAACTAAATAAATAAGTTGCCATGAGGTCTTCAAGGGTAGTTCCACATACAGTGTGTCATAATGAGCTAACCTCAATGTAATCAAAGTGCGAATAAAGGGTTCAGCTGGCATACTTGCTAAAGTTAAATGCTAGTTGAGCATCCAAATATAAATGTGGATCAACAACCTACCATAACCTGTGAACTTGATCCTCCAGACAGAGTCCTATTCCATTTAGAATAGGCAATGTGCCACAATCCAAGTCAGAAAGACATTCTGCTAACAACACTTCCACTGTGTCTGGGTTCAGCTTCAGTTTTTCTAAGCTCTAATTCAATTTAGACACGGATAGGAAGCGGTGACCCACGATACTCATGGGAGGGAGTATTCCCTGTGGCTCCCCTGCTGAAGCAGCAGGAGCTGCACGCGGAGGAGGAGGAAGCGGTCGCAGGTGAGCCCAGCAGGCAGGGTCTTCTCCCCCGCACTGGTGGCGAGGCCTACATGGCTCCCAGCCACCAGGCCTACCAAGCATTCTACCCTGTCCCCCGGCAACAGTGGTGAGGCCTACACAGCTCCCAGCTGCCAGGCCACCAAGTTTTCTCTCCCCCGCCACCGCCAATGGCAGGGAGGCACAGTTCTCAGTGCGTTCTCTGCATGTGCGCAGAGAACGCTCTCTTACTTTTGGGGGATTTAAGTATCCCCCGTATAGTTTTTTCTACATTTCAGATTTTTCTGCACACCTGGGGAGTGCCCCAAGTGTGCAGGAAAATCTCTTTGCCCCCTATGTGCCCCAGATGTGTGGATTTAGATATCTGGCTATTAGATATATAGATTTAGCATATCTACTGCCTCTTCTGACTCAACTGAAAAGGAGAAATAGAACATGCTGGTGACCCCATATCTCCAGACTTCTGCCATGTATATGCTGAAGAGCCTGGTGACTAATTAGAGGGCTGTGAAATTCCATAACGCAGTTGCCAAGGGGCAAAACTACAGCCTATCCAGGCGGAATCAGAACCTTTGGAGAGCAATGATTCCATATTTTGCAGGATGTATAACCAGGCAATCTGGAAGGATACTAGAGTTTGGGAAGGGCTCTAGGTTTCAGTACATGGAGCTCTTTTGCCCTGCATGACTACAAGAGCAATCTTAAGCAGATCTACTTAGAATCCATTCAGTGGGACTTTCTCCCAAAAAAGTATACTTGGGATAGCTTTCCTTCCTTGTATCCATGAAACAATACTCCCAGGAAAGCATTCTTAGAATTACAACCCCAGTCTATACCTCTTCACTAGCCATTATACATCTATAGGCAAACCACAAAAATAAACACCATATGTCAGTTCTGTGTCTACTTGGAAATTAAATACAATTGATAGCAAGTGTGCCTATTTACCACATAAGAATGTTTATAACTTCCTGGAAGTTCAAAATATTCAACTAAATTTGCATAATTTAATTTGCACAATATGATTAATGAGTACAATTATTACTCAGAATAGTGGGGAGGGCTGGTTCAGAATCATGAAAGGCCAGATGTCAGAGAAGTATATGTTTAGTTGGGATTGTATGGTGCAGAACACTAGTAACTCCTTAACCACACAGCTTATTTTTGCCAGTTGGCCATTAATTAAGAATACCATTGCTTTGAAATTCTGCAGACAATCAACTGACATAATATATTACATCTTTTAAAAAAGCAATGATAATAAAATACAACACTGCCCTATTATAGGTGTGGTAGGATACAGGTTTAACTAGATTCAATATTGTCTGGATTGGCTGCTGGCCCAGACACTGAAAAACCCAGCAGCCCAACCAGAAGCCAGCCTTATCACAACCTTAGCTGTATGACATCATTGGGAAAGAGCAAGTGAACCTTTGGGTGCCTCTTAGTGCAAAGCACAGGAACAGACCAAAGACCCAAATTGTCCCAAGACATTTGCTGGACTCTTATCTATGAAAAGACCAAAAGTTCCATATTAGAGATAATGTTAACCCTTTATATTGATACAAACCAGAAGAGAAACTAGAAGATCAGGCAGTACCTTTTTGTAATCATATCGCAGAAGAGCAAATTTTTGATCTGCTGACAGTATTGCTTCAGAAGCACTGTAAGTAGCCTGTAGATGTAAGGGGGAAAGAGCATTAAAAACAAGAACACCACAAATACATATAATGGAGGGAAAAGTTCAACCAACAATAAAGGGCTAAAACACGCATTATTGGGGGGGAAACTTACTAATGTATCATTTGTGAGGATTTCAGAGATATTTCCGTTATCAACATTGACGAGAAAGACATTGCTCTGCCTTACGTAGAGATATTGGTTTCCTAAGAGACAAAAGCCATTCAATAACATAGAAAAAAATCCACAAACATTTACTGCAATTATTTTTCTGATCTATTTATGTAAAATAGTTATATTGTGATCAACAAGACTTAAAGTGGTTTACATAAATTTAGAAACAAATACAGTATCACATGGGCAGCAAATACAAACAAAAACAAGCAAGCCACAATCTTCTCTCATGGGCCATCAAAGGCACAATGAAAGAGCTCTGCTACACTGAAACATCAGAACCTGTGCAAGATTGGAGCCTTCCTCACATCTCTGAGAAGCCCACTGCATAGCACAGAAGCCAGAAAGAAAGCCTGAGCAGTGACAGTTCTTACTGTTCTACTAGCTATTCCTTGTTTGCTGAATGAAACTGCCTTGAGGGCACACATGGGTGGAGGCAGATCTAGTAGATATTCGGGCTCCAAATCATGAAAGTCTATGGCTAAGAGCATACTGGGCTAAGAGAATAAGCTTTGATCCAAGAGGTTCTTGGCTGAAATTTCATCTCTGTTACAAACTCACCGGATTTCCTGAATCAAGCCACGGTCTCTTAGCCCTGGCCCACCGCTCCAACGTGAGGCTAATAATAATGCCCTGTCTTATTAATTTGATCGGAGCTGCGGTGGCTCAAGTGGTTAAGACGCTGAACTGCAGGCCGTGGAAGGTCAGTAGTTCAGCAGTTCGAGACCCGGGTGCCGCAAGACGGGGTGAGCTCCCGTCTCTAGTTCCAGCTCCTGCCAACCTAGCAGTTTGAAAGCAAGACATTGCAAGTAGATAAATAGGTACCACTTCAGTGGGAAGGTAACAGCGTTCCATGCGCCTCGGTGTTTAGTCATGCCGGCCACATGACCACGGAAACGTCTTCGGACAGCGCTGGCTCTTCGGCTTTGAAACAAAGATGAGCACCGCAACCCTAGAGTTGGATTCGACTGGCTTTCGAGCAAGGGAACCTTTACCTTTACCTTATTAATTTATCTAGTAAATTATTTACAAGCTACCTTATTAGAGATCTGTTATAGATGGCTTACAAAATAAAACATTTTAACAATAAAATGATAAACAATAAAAGTACCAAAAACTAGCCATAAAACATGCAGCTCACCCACAAAAGCATAAAACAGCACCTGGCGGATAAATACAATGCTCAGCAGCCTATCACAGTAAAGTAATTTCTGCATGGGTTTTAAAACAACAATCAGAAACCAGCCCTCAAGTGAGAGGCAGGCAATAAAAACAGTCAGCTACACAGAATGGGAATAATGCTTCAGCTAAAAGAATGTTTTAGCAGAGTCAAATTACAGGCAAGACATACAAGCATCGAGTGGGAGGAAATTCCAAATATGAGGTGCCATTGAGAAAGGCCTGTCTCTCTCGTCACCAACCACCTCTTCTCTACAGATGGGGGGACAGAGAGCAGGGATCCAGAGGAGGAGCCAAGGCTGCTGGAGCTGCTGCAGCCAGCCAGCCCTCCGCCCTGGGATCGCATGGCCCTTTACCCCCTCGCCCACCTACCTCCTCCTGCTGCTGTGGGCACTCGGGCGGCGGTAGCAGTGGCAGCTCCAGCAGCAGGTAAGGAGTGCTGCCAAGAAGGTGTAAAGGGCTGTGTGGTCCTGGGGTGCACCGAGGTAGAGGGCTGTCTGTCTGTCTGATTCACACAATCCTCCCCCCCCCACCGTGCGTAAACTTGATGCCGCGGCGCTTTCTTTCTGCTGGCGCCTGAGCTAGCCAGCCCTCCGCCTTGGCACGCCCCGGGACCGTGTGGCCCTTTACCCCCTCTTGGCAGCGCTCCTTACCTGCCGCTGGAGCTGCTGCCGCCCAAGCATCCGGCCTCCCTGCTGCTGGGTTCCTGGTGGGGTGGTCTCCAGGCCCCACCGGGAGGTTGGCATCTGCAGCCTGCAGCCTTGCCTAGGGCGCAGCCTCGCCTCGGGCCGGCCCTGGCCGCAGCAGGGTGTGCTGTCTGGTTGGTATGCCCTGCAGTACTTCAAAGCGCTGCAGTTAGAAGCGGCACCATATCGCTCCAAGCTGTCAGTCTGGCCACAGCCCAAGAGAACTTTTTCTCACCTTCCCCATTCCACAATACTAGAACTTAGGGACACCTCCCGCCAGAAAGTTGATGGGCTGTAGATTCAGAACAGACAAGAGGAAGTACTTTATTTTATTTATTTATTTTATTTATTTAAATTTTTACCCCGCCCTCCCCATGAATGGGCTCAGGGCGGCTAACAAGCAAGGGCACCATGAGCCAATACATAAAACCAAGTAAAACAAGATAAAATCGACTTAAGTACTTCTTCACACAACATGTAATTTACCTTATGAAATGTAATACGTGAAGAAATAATGCATATTTGTAAAGTCATGAGAAACAAACACCTGGGAACCAAGACAGGCCAAGACTCCTAGGCACAAGTTTACAGATATATTGCAAATAGTTGCTGTAGATTTTCTGGGTTGTGTGGCCATGGTCTTGGCACTGTAGAACCTGACGTTTTGCCAGGAGCTGTGACAGGCATCCTCAGATGCAAATACCTTTTTTTTAATTTTGTGAAACAGCTTTAAGGATCAGTAGCCAAGTCAGCAAAAGCATTCCAGACATATATGAAAGTTACCTGAAATCCACTTCAAATTGTATGATTTGTATTGAAAACTGTCTTCCAAGTAATCCTCTAGAGTAAATGTCTTGCGAGAGTCAGATGTAGGATTATCTGTCAGAACAAAGAAAAAAGGTAAGACTGCCTGACATCTAGGCTAACTTTATTTTATTTTATTTTAAATTTATATCTCGCCCTTCCAAGCGGCTCAGGGCGGCTAACAAGTGGCTAATGCCGGGTTAAACAGATAAAACTTATATCCTAATGGTGAAATATATAGTTTGCAAGTGAAGTGCTTGAATAATACTTTGTGCTATTTTTGTACTTCCATGTTTAGGGGTCAGTAAATTTGCCTGGAATGTCAATAATGGTTCCTTGTAGACATTTCTTTCTTTCATAGTACTCATTAAAGATGGGGGGGGACACTTGTAGATTTACCTCTCTTTCACTCTGTTCCTTGGGTAGTAAAACATCTGCCATATCTTGATAAGGCAAAAAATGTGATGAGCAGGCTAATAAGTACAGATTCTTTTGAAGTACTAGAGGCTATTTCTACTTCAGAATAAGAACAAGTACAGTACAGCACAACACGCATGTTCATACCTTTATCAGACACACTTCCCACTTTTTATTCTTCAAAGTAAAAGAGCAAATACATTGAGGTTTTGAAATGTCTTGCTGTTGAGCTTTCATGCATATTGTATGTGGGTTTTTTAAAAATAATAAAGCCAGGCTTTGGAGCGGAATAATTATATATTTCGAACATACTGAATATCTTGCAACAAACTGCTTTATTTAGCAGAAGATTTTTATCCTGCCTTTCTATTATAAATAGCCCCTGGAACTGCATGACAGAAATAGCCATTGAGTCATTAGCATACTATACGGATTTAAAGAATACACAGTCAGTATTGAAGGTCCATGGAAACAAACAGATTCTTTTCTCCTTCTCAGAACCTGTACGTATTTTAGAAGTCTCTCCCCTCAGTTCCCTAGGCTAGGTCAGCATCTAACAATACACATTCAAACAACTGGTTGGGACAGCCAGAGAAAAACAAAGAAGAAAAAGGAAAAAGGGACCACTCAGCAAAGAACAAGATAAAGGGAAACCCTGCAATGAAGGGCAAAATTGTCATAGTTGCCTAGCAACGTTCCATCTTATCTGTTGCCCATGTGTGGGGAGCATAAGACCCTACAGAATGCTTTTGAAATGCCTAAAAACAGTGATGCCATGAAAGCTGAATACCCCAGTTTGTGTCACTGCCTTTGGGACCTGGATAATATTCCATTACTGCAGTGGTGAGAAGATGGCAGCATGTATCCAGCCTGGAGGAAGTTCCTCCAGCATAAGGAAGAAGCGCCACTTCAGTTGAAAGAAAGCTCTCTTTGGCTGGAGGAGGCTTCAAGTTTTGCTCTGTGGAGTGGTAGGATATGTGTCACTGTCTTACTAGTATTCCAGGACCCCAGACCATCAAACCAGAAGGTACACTTCTTATGCTACGCTAGCCCTATATCAGCCTCTCTGGTGACATGGAGAATTATCTGCTTAGCAAAGCTTGCACAAGCAAGCTCCATTTGTGTTTATGTAGGCATCACAACTCTTACCCCGACAACTGTAAGTAGTCAACTGCTCTTTGGATATCCTTAGGGATGGCCCCTACCATAAGGAAGGCTGAGATGGTCTCTCACAGGTAATGGACTTGGGAGTACCATTTGAAAAGTAGAAAATGGTCAGTTATTTAATTGCATATTATACTTTTACAATCATGGAGGGTGCCTTTTAGATTTTTTTCTTCAGGAACCAAAATATTTTAGACTGTCTGTGCTATAAGGTTGTTCCTGGCAACAGGTGCATTGCGCCTCCAGAATTCCAAAGCATGACCCAGCAGTCTTGCTAAAGCTAAGAAGCTCCGGGTTTGTTGAGACAGTCAAGGGACTTCATATATGCCACCTTGAGTTTTATGGTGGAAAAAGAGCACTAATATGAATAAATAACAAGAATTCATTTCATAGTACTGATTTACTTTCTGCAGTCATTGCTACTGTATAAACACACAGTTCAGTTCCTCTTAGACAGTAATACCTTTGCAGTTTTGTCATAACTCATTTATGTCAGGGCCACAGTGATTTTTATGATATTTATTTCCAAGGTAATCAATCAGCAATGCAACCCTGGGCAGCTCTGTTCAGAAGTAAATCCCACCAAAGTCAGTAAGACTTATTCCCACATAAGTGGGCATAGGATTGTGGCCTTTAAAAAGTTACTTCAAAAAATATTTCGGGACAAGTGGTACACTAGCTCTTTGAGCTATAAGCCAGTTTGGTGTAGTGGTTAAGTGTGCCAACTCTAATCTGGGAGAACCGGGTTTAATTCCCCACTCCTCCACTTGCACCTGCTGATGTGACCTTGGGTCAGTCGCAAGCTCTGGCACAGCTGTCCTTGAAAAAGAGCAGTTTGTGTCCGAGTTCTCTCAGCCCCACCCACCTCACAGGGTGTCTGTTGTGGGGAGGGGAAGGGAAAGGAGTTTGTAAGCCGCTTTGAGACACTAGCGAAGGGCGGGGTATAAATCCAATCTCTTCCTCTTCTTCTTGGTTAACAGCATGGACTCTAATCTGGGACAACCAAGTTTGATTCCCGCCTCCACATGCAGCTGCTGGTGTGACCTTGGGTCAGTCATAAGTTCTTTCAGAGCTGTTATCACAAGGGCCATTCTCAAGAGAGCTCTCTCAGCCTCACCTACCTCACAGGGTGTCTGTTGTAGGGAGGGGAAGGGAAAGGGATTGTAAACCGCTCTGAGACTCCTTCGGGTAGTGAAGGGTGGGGTTTAAATCCAATCTCTTCTTCTTCTTCTTCTTCTCCTTCTTCTTCTTCTTCTCTGTGTATCTTAAGGATAGGCTGTTTCACCCTTTTTATCACTCTCTTTTCTCCCTCTGCTTTTTTGCAGGAAATTGGCCATTTTTAAGTTGTATATGACATTCCATCCCTCCACAACACAAAGTACTCAAAACACATGTTGTTCTATTTATTATTATATTTCATCTTGCAGAATGCACATCACCTATTCACCATTTATAATTTACTTCTGGTTTTCCACACTTCTACAAACTCTTTGTACAATAAGGAAGTAGGGACATTTCTACAGTCAGTTCCGAGCAGGATACTAGGAACAAGCTAGAAACTGACAACCGGAGTGCATTTTCAATGGAGAGATGAGAATGATTCATGGGGAGAAAATGCTAGGAAAATTCCAAAAAGCTACTTTTATTTTCCCTATGGAACCCTTTACTCAATACATAAACAACAGTCAAAAAGACACTGCTGGAAGGCACTTGCATTTCAGATGGTCCCCTGTCGTCGTTTTTTGCAGGGTAAGATACCTGCTGCCATGGCCCTTATGACTTTGTCAAATGGCTGCTAGAGCAGAGACAGCTACAAAGCCAGATAATCACTGGTATGTATAAGCAGCTTTTCATGCAAGGGAGGAAATATGGCACAATCATGAACTTTGCACATAAAGGTACCAGACTCATTCCTTGGAGTTTCAGGTACATGGTCTTGGAAAAGCTGCTTTAGTCTTTAGGGAACCACTGACACAGCGGACAGTAAAGGCTAACTACAAGGGTAGTACTTTACCTACACAATCCTATATAGAGTTTCTCCAGACAATATGAATTTCAATGGATTTAGACTGAACTAACTCTGTCTAGGACTGGACTTTTTGCTGTGTGGGATCAACAAGTGCCCTCATTTTTTAAAAAACAGCAAATACCAAAAATACCTCTGAAAACAAAGTGAATTTAGAGATAATTTAAACTGCCTTCAGTATGCTTCAGTTTTAGAATACTCATGCAGTCTTTCCTGCAGTTTTGTCAGCTATATATATGATAAAAAAATATCAAGCTGCATTTCTCAGCCTTTCACACTCGTACAAACATGTCTTTGTGGCCGTGTGCAGACCTGAAAGTCAGACCTACAGTCATGCTAAACAATAATTCTCTCCAGCTAGAAAGGAATTTTCAGATTACACCCTCCTTAACCTCAAAGCCTTTGAACCCAAAGCCCTAACACAGTCTTCTCCTTCAGCCTTTTCCTTGTTTACATGCTAGTTCAGTAATTCCAAAACTATGTCCTAGGCACTAATCTGCCATGAGAGAATGGCTGGTGTGTTGCAAGAAACAATTAAACAATGTTTTCTCTTAAGCCCAAGATATGCTCTACAAAGGATATTGCTTGCTGTACATTTGAATGATTGCCTCCTTCCGATCAGCCGCTAGCAAATGCAGGTAATTCTGCTGTTTCTCTTTTCATTTGGTATAATTACAGCAGTCAATCAATCTACTCAAAGTAAAGAGGCAACAAAGGAGGCAGCCAGTTGCATTTCTGAACTTTTCTTAAAGAAAAAGACATAGCCTCTATTATTTTTGCAGTTTTTAACCCTCAATGTACTTTTTTTACATTTCATATTTTTCTAAAATCCTAGAGTTTTCCTCTTATTTCTCTAGAAACCTAGAGTCTAGAAAGATCCCCTCTGACGATCCCTGTCCTCACTGTGTGGCGTTTTTGATTTACACTCTATGGCCCAGTTCAGAATTAGATACAGGGATAATACTGGCAACCCAGAAGATTCCAGATAAAATGTGATAAATTTATGTGAACTTAATTAACTCCTTTCCTCTCCCTAAACACCAAGCTAATATTTGATTAAATACAGCTTAAGAATTCAGCTCTTTTATCAGAGAGAACTTTGACCGTGCTAAAGAGTCATGCGTTTGGTAAGAAATAAGTGCTCAAAAACCAAGGTAAATTGCTTGAAAAACCTTCGTGCCAATTGTTTAACTGCTGTTAGTTGCCTTGAAATTTACCAAATAGATGTTTTTTTTAAAGAAATAGAATTTCCAGCCAGCATGTATGAGTACCAGTCAATGTCCATCAACAATTACAAAAGAATGTTGACACTTCCAGAACTGCAGAATGCCAGCAACTGCAGCGATATCACTGTGTAGTAACAGCCCTTTTACACCCAGGCCTTCCACATGGCCCCCTAATGTACAACAGGCTACAACACAAGACATATTTTTTTAGTGGTGACATCAAAGCTACAAAACCCGCTCCT